CATTGGCTCCGCCGGCGGGGAAGGCTGCCTTGGTATTTCAGGAATGCGGTAGTCATGGTAACGTTGCTCTCTCCCTTCCCGCTTCTCCTGGGCCCGCGCTTCCTGCCTTACACCAATCGCAAGCACAGCCTTGGTCAGCTGATCCATCGACTGCGGGCGGGGTGCGCGGGAAAGCTCGTCCTTCACCGTTGGGGACAACCCCTCCTCGAACAGCATTTGAATGGGTTCAGGGTCCAAGTCCCACCCGAGCCGGTGGACTAACATGGCAAAGCGTGACCAGTAGTCTCTAACTGACTGGTTCCCCTGTTTGCAGCCCATCAGTTCCCGCCGAGTCACACTTTGCTGTACATCACTGGAATACATCGCATCCATCGCCTGGAAGAATTTCCTCAGGTCTTTCAAGGCGGCATTCTGCGTTGCCATTAGGGGCCTGATCCATTCTCTGGCCCCATCCTGCAGATGTCCGACAATATAGGCAACCCTCTCCCCATCGTCTGCAAAATCATTCTGTTGCAGTTCCGACGCGTACTCTATTTCCGTTCGGAACGCACTGTAGTCCTGGGGTTTCCCTCCAAATTTGTGTACCAGTCCCGGTACCTTCCTTGCTACGGGGGTGGGTCTGACCTGAGCATCCTGAGACCGCCTTTCGTCCAGCCGCGCCGTCAGAAGAGCCACATGCTGCTCCAAATCTCGGTTCCTCTCCACCAGATTTTGCACTCCTGCTGCTCCCTCCGTGGCGCCAGCTTCTCCGGTCTTGCTCATGATGCTGCCTGCCTGTCGCTGTGCATGAGCGACGTCAGGGACTGATGGATTGCTGTAATGAGTATGGGTTGCTCGTGCGTAAGTTGCCGCCTCTCCTGGCTATGTTGCCTTGTTAAACCTTTCAGTCTGGACAGCCCCTCACTTCGTGGCTGCCTCAGTCGCTAGCAGAATCCGTCAGTGGGCGTTTCTTAAACCTTTTCCAACATAAAAGTTGTTTGACACCCAGTCTCCTCCTACTCTCCCTGCGCGGAAGTCTTCTGCGCAGGGAGGGCGTGGGTAGCGGAGGACCCGTGCTCTCCCCGCTGGTGTCCGGTGAAGAGTCCTGGAGCCCTCTCGCCGATTCCCCCATCTGCCCCCCTTTATCCCTGGTGTTGCGCTGATTTGCTTCCCCATCTGCTGAGCTGCCTCTCTCCCTGCTGGGCCCTTCTCCAGCATCATTTGAGAGCCTTCCCTCCGCCTCTAGCTCCGATGTCAGTTCCCTGACAATATTCATGCTGTCTAAGAGGAGGAACTGTTCCTTTTCCTTTCAGGGTCCTCTGTGCTTTGAAGATGTAGCTGTTCGTTTCACGGAGGAGGAGTGGGCGTTGCTGGATCCTGACCAGAGAGCTCTGCATAAGGAAGTCATGGAGGAGAACCGTGGGATCCTAGACTCTCTTGGTAAGGCTCCCTGTTGGATCACAATATCTGTTTTGAAATTCCATATGTATATATATCTATGTGACGAACCTCCCAGGTTTTGATTAGCTCAGCAATGCCACCTACAGCATCTGGGATTCTAACCCACAGCTCACCTTGAATGGACTGTTTTGTCTGTGAACATTTTTCCTCTAGCTATTTCTTTTAAAACAAGGATTATGCTGATGTGAACTATTCACACATTTCTGAATGTATGCTTCAGGGTGTTGCAGGAAGTTGAAGAAGCCTCTGTCAGGTTTTTTGTTTTTGCTTCTGTCCGGTTTTGGCTGACCAAAGAGACGACTGACCTTGGAGATGGAGCAGATTTCATGACTGAGTCAAATAACATCCACCCCAGAAAAAAGCCAGGCTTTTCGAATCTTAGGTTCCCATAGAGATGTCTGTGATTGCAAATCCCCAAAGGCAGTGAATGCTGTATTAAGATTTCCCATGTAACTCCCTTCAGTTCTTCCTCTATCAGAAGTATTAATGAACATTGTTCAATAACGGGTACTCTTTTGGCCGGGGTGGTTCTTTGGGTCTCAGTGAATGGAGAGCAGACAGACTATTGGGTGTCAGAAGCAAGCTTTATTTAACTGATGGATGATCCAATGAAGCAAGCAAAATAACATCCATATTCCACACTCACTACAAAACAATAACAGCTGTACAATCTAAAGCGAATAGCATACAAAATAACATAGCACACGTGTATAAAATGGGCTAAAATACCAGAAAGAGCCACACCTAACAGTTAAAATACCAGAAAGAGGTTGTTGTTCTTGTTCTTGTTGTTGTTATTTTTATACTCTGCCTGTCAGGAGCCAAGCTGCTGTCTTGATAACACAGCACGCAAGTCGTAATTAGCTTGAAGATTTATTGCAATACAAACACTTTGGAGTTTGTGTATGCTCTTTGCAATAAGCACCCTCTGCTCACTCAGAGAGATATTTGCAGTTCTTTATTTTACATATGTACAAGCAGCACAGTACAACTTATGCATCCGAATCGTCTGGTTCAGATTCGGGGAGTGGTCTTCACCCGCTTCTCCTCCAACAGAAGGGGCAGGGAAGTTTCATGTGACGTCTCTGAGCCTTGAGCTTTAACCCTCTCCTTTCCTGTGCCGAAGGCATAGGCTCTCCGCCTGCCCCTGAGCTCTTTGTGCAGTGCTGGGGCTCTGCTTCAGCCTAGCAGAGCCTTGACACCTCCTGGCTCCCTCCTGCTAAGTAAAGTCTCTCAATAGTTTTTCAAAAGTTTCAACGGAAGACGTCTCAAAAGGACAGTGTCTCCGGAATGATACTACTTTTTTGTAATAGTCTTCATCAGCCAATATTTTTCAACAGAATATGTAAGTACGATTCATGCTAAGGATCAGCAGAGCATTATTGAGAGACTTTACTTTTGAAACTTTTGAGACGTCTTCTGTTGATACTTTTGAAAGACTATTGTGAGACTGTCCTTAGACATCTGTTTTGAACACATGGCTTGACAGTCCTCGCTACCACTCTGTTATATTGTATATATGAACTTTGATTGGCTCACTCCTATAATTTGAATGATATCATTATTCTATTATATATTTTTTACTATTAGCCTACGTGTTGTGTTTGTATTGTGTTGATTCTTCAGTCAGAGCCAAATCTAATGCTGCAGCAGATATATCTATTAGAAGCTACATGAAAAGCAGTAGCACTACGCAGTCCCCATTTCTTCCTGAAATTAAAGGGAGATAATCCATTTCTCTATTTCCTGCAGATGGTGTTAAATTGGAAATGAAGAACAAGGGAAACCTTGACAAAATCTGCACAGTGGAGAAGCCATATCAATATTTGGAATGTGGAGAGAACTTAAATCAGACCTCCCATTCCACTTCCCATCAAAGAAATCCCTTTGGGATGAAACCCTATCAGTGCCTGGAATGTGGGAAGAGCTTCAGTCACAGGTCCCTTCTCACTTACCATCAAAGAATTCATACAGGGGAGAAACCATATCGGTGCTTGGAATGTGGAAAGCGCTTTAGCCAGAGCTCCAGTCTCAGTTCTCATGAAAGAATTCACACAGGGGAGAAACCATATCAGTGCTTGGAATGTGGAAAGAGCTTCAGCCAGAGCTCTGGTCTCAGTTCTCATCAAAAAATTCATACAGGGGAGAAACCATATCAATGTTTGGAGTGTGGAAAGAGCTTCAGTCGGAAGAATAGTCTTACTTCCCATCAAAGAATTCATACAGGGGAGAAACCATATCAGTGCTTAGAATGTGGAAAGAGCTTCCGCAAGAAGGCCCATCTCTCATCCCACCAGGCAATTCATACGGACGAGAAACCATATCCGTGCGTGGAATGTGGGAAGAACTTCAGTCAAAGAGACAAGTTCATGGCTCATCAAAGAATTCATACAGGGCATAGACCACATCGGTGCTTGGAATGTGGGGAGAGCTTCTTTAAGAGTTCTGCTCTCATTTCCCATCAAAGTATTCACACAGGTGAGAAACCTTTTCAGTGCTTGGAATGTGGAAAGAGTTTCACTCAGAAGGGAGGTCTCACTTCCCATCAAAGTATTCATACAGCAGAGAAGAAATATTTGTGCTTGGAATGTGGGAAGAGATTCAGTCAGAGGGGCAAGCTCATAGCCCATCAAAGAATTCATACGGGGGAGAAACCATATCAGTGCTTGGAATGTGGGAAGAGCTTTGCCTGGAGGGACATATTCACTTCCCATCAAAGAACTCATACAGGGGAGAAACCGTATCAGTGCATGGAATGTGGGAAGAGATTCAGTAATAGGGCCTACCTCACTTCTCACCACAGAATTCATACAGGGGAGAAACCACATCAGTGCTTAGAGTGTGGGAAGAGCTTCACGTGGAAGGAAAGTCTCACTTCCCATAGAATAATTCATGGAGAAGAGAAACCATATCAATGTGTGGAATGTGGAGAGAGCTTCACTCGTAAGAAAAGTCTTTCCTGCCATCAAAGAATTCATACAGGGGAGAAACCATATCAGTGCTTGCAATGCGGGAAGAGATTCAGTGACAGTTCCCATCTCTCTTCCCATCATAGAACTCATACAGGGGAGAAACCACATCAGTGTGCGGAATGTGGAAAGAGATTTAGTGAGAGGGCCAAGCTCACTATCCATCAAAGACTTCATACGGGGGAGAAACCCTATCAGTGCTTGGAATGTGGAAAGAGATTCAATCAGAGGGCCCATGTCACTTCCCACCAAAGAATTCATACAGGGGAGAAACCATATAAGTGCTTGGAATGTGGAAAGAGCTTCAGTCAGAGTTCTGCTCTCACTTCCCACCAAAGAATTCATACAGGGGAGAAACCATATAAATGCTTGCAGTGTGGAAAGAGCTTCAATCAGAGTTCTGCTCTCACCACCCATCAAAGAGTACATTCAGGGAAGAAACTATAGCTGTGCTTGGAGTGTGGAAATAACTTAGGAGGGCCAAGCGAACTTCCAATCAGATGAATGACAACACATTGGCTATCAAACAGATGGAATCTTATTCCCTGCCGGAATAGATTTGGAAGATGACTTCTCTTTCCTCACTATTCCATGGACAAGAAAATCAACCCACAAGGCAAGAAACGGCTAGAGTGGGTTTACTCACATGATCTTTATATCCTGCATGGGAGTCCTGTCAATGTTTTATATGGACAGATCAGATTGTTACATAAAAGGAGGGGAAGTGTGATTGACTACATCATAGTGTCACCATCTCTTTTCCACTCAGTGAATTCTTTTGAGGTGCTCGAGAGAGCAGAAAGCAACCATTTCCCATTATTAGTTAAAATCTACCCCCTGTTAGAATCTCTCTCTTCCCCCCCCCCCAGCCAACAGATACTTCCAGAGAGCTTGTGGGTGCAAAAAAGTTGAAATGGTCATTGAGACTAAGTGACAACATCCTAAAGACCCTGGTCTCTGAATATCGGATGTGTCTATGCAAATTCCTTGAGAGAAACTCGTCCAACCCGGTGGAGATTTACCAACAAATAACAGCAGAAATCAAACCCTTCTTGATCAACACTAAAGAACCTAAAAATTATCTTGTAGAACAGGGATACTGGTTTGACACAAGAGTGCAGAAATGCAAGGAAAAGGCTGCCTGGATCTATTAGAGCACCGGGGTTCTTTCAAAATACTCTTAACTTTTGGGACACTCAGTAAAGATAGGATAGCATATAAGAACATTTTGAAAAAGCAAAAGATAGGCTTGGGAAGACAGTTGTGGCAAGACTTGGCTCAAGAAGCAGCTGACTGGAGGGAGGACAAATTTTGGGAATTGGTGTCCTGTGGAATGAAATATGTGAAATTAACACATGATACCATAATCCCAGCCTGGAAAGGGTTGAATACTACAGCAAGCTTTTTAGCGATCATTCAAGGCTCCCAAATAAGGCCGGTATGAACACCAACCCGTCAAATTTACTTAAATGGTGAGAGGTGTCCCCAAATGACATAAAACATCTTACTGAAGGTTTAAAACCAAACAAAACCCCAGGAAGACACGATGCCTCCAGAGCTCATCAAGACTGACTTGGAATGGTGGTTACCTATTTTGGCCAGGCTATTTACACAGATAGATAACACAGCCCAAATTCCTCCCAGCTGGAAGATGAACATAATTGTTCCAATTTTCAAGAAAGGAGACAGATCTTTGCCACATAATTACCACCCCATCGGCCTGTCCCCATCCCATGGGGCAGCCCTTTAGATAATGGGAGATGGCTATCATATCTCCTCTCAGTCTCCTCTTCTCCATGATAAACATGCCCAGCTCCGTCAACTGTTCTTCATAAGGCTTGGTTTCCAAACCCTTGGTCGCCCTCCTCTGCACCCATTCCAGCTTGTAAAGGATGGAGCAGATCCAGAACTTTGGCGGCTTGCAAAAGGGATGAAGGGAATCCAAAATACACCACCCACAGCAAAGTGCATAGGCTGCATTTTTGAGAAGAGGGTTAAACCTCCTTTCCCTTCCTGCACACAACATAACTTTCCTGCATTGCAAAGGAAAAGAAGACTAGAAAACCCTCAGGATTCCTTCCAACTCTCTGATCCCATCAGTCCATGATTCTATGTTGATGCAGTCTAGAATAGCTTTGTTGGTGCCATAATAAATAACAAGATGGAAGATGAAAAAATCTTTTTTAATAATTCCAGTGGCACCTTTGTTAGTGCAACACTGTTGACTCATAATAAGCTTGTGATCTACTAAGAGCCCTAGATCCTTTTTACATGTACTACTGGCAAGGCAGGTGTTCTCCATCATATATATATATATATATATATATATATATATATATGCAGGGTGATTGAGCGGGTGGTTGCTAAACAACTCCAGGCACATCTGGAGGAAGCAGACCATGTGGATCCCTTCAAGTCGTCATTAAGGCCCCATCATGGAACTGAAACTGCTCGGGTTGTGCTGCCCGATGATCTCTGGTGAGCTAGGGACAGAGGTGAAAACTGTTTTCTGCTTCTGCTGGATCTCTCAGCGGCTTTTGTTACCATTGACCATGGTATCATTCTGGACCGTCTAGCGGGGTTGGGAGCTGGGGGCACTGTTATGCAGTGGTTCTGTTCCTCCTGGGTCATGTCTAGAAAGGGATGAGTGTTTGGACCCCTGAAGGCAGCTGTGTACCAAGAGGTTTCTAATGGTCAGTGTTTTATTGTGTTTTTAATATTTACCTATCTTATATATTTGCTGCTGATTATTCCTGCCTGTATGCAGAACCTGACATTTGTCCTTGCTGAAATTCCTTGATGGCATTAATATGCCATCTCTCTCTCCAGGAAGCTCCAGGTGGAGTCACATGGGTCTTGCCCTTCTGATTTAATCCTGTGAGGTAGGTTAGGCTGTGAAGCTACACCTGGCCCCCAAGGTCATCCAGTGGGCTTCATGACCAAGTAATTAACTTGGCTGGGAAACAGGGAAATGTAATTATCTCTTTTGTTTCACTTGGTGGGGGTTTGGTGGAGAGCAAGGGAACCATGGGGCAGGGTCCAGGATGCTCAGCTTACTGCCACCAGACCTCCCCTTTCATAATGTAACCCTGATGTATTAGTGATGTAGTTTGGGGGGATGTAACATGGGGATTGTAAGTTTGGGGGCTCTTTTGTTTGGGGCTTCCATCTTGTTCCACCTGGTGGCAGGTGGGAGTCCTGTCGCGACAGTCTTCAATAAAGACCAAGCCTACTGGCTGCTGTTTTGCTCTGGTATTCCTGGCTGGTGTCCTTGTTTTTTGTCCAAGAGAGCCCTCCAATTTCTCCATTAACATGGTATATACCGTATTTTTTGCTCCATAAGACACTTTTTTCTTCCTAAAAAGTAAGGGGAACTGTCTGTGCGTCTTATGGAGTGAATACATGGTCCCTGGAGCCGAATTGCCCAGGGGCAAAAAGCAGATCTTTTCTTTTCTTTTTTTTGAAAGAGGGAAGTGGGTGTTGAAACAAAGCAGCTGATCCTTTGCGATCAGGGAGATAAGAGACGCTAGAGATAAAGGAGGCTGCCTGGGTGGGGGAGGTAAAGACAGCAAACTTGCAAAGGGGGGAAACAGGAAGACTAAAGCTATAAGGAGAGAAATTAGAAGAAAAGGAGGAGCAAAAAACTGCTCCAGTTAAGGAAAAGACACTAAGGCAAACAAGAGGGAAGGGAGTGTTGAAAGGAAACAGCTGATCGGTGGGATCGGAAGACAGATAAGGGAAGCTAGTGGAGGCTGCCTGGGAGCGGGGAGGTAAAAGCCCATGGATCCTCAGGATTTTTGCATTGGGTCACCACAACAGCCACAACCCCCGGAAAACCTGTTAAAACCTATAGTTTGTTCAGCAGCCTCAGCCTTTCTAGCTGGAGTCCATGGGCCCATCAGTCAATCACTCCACGGGGGGGCATGGAGCTGGTCTTCCTGGACTCCCAGCTGTGGTAAGAGTTTGCAGTTAGACTGCTGGTCCTTGCCCAGTGAAGAAATGAACCTTGGAATGAAAAGGCAGCTCAGCACATTGGCCAAGAAGGTCCCCAAATAAACGGGGTTGGGGTGGGGCAGGGGGGTTGACGCATGAGGCTCCTGCTGGGCTTCTGCTTTGGAGAGAGATAGAAGGGTTACATAGTGCGCTAGGCTTGCCAAGGGTTAAAAGGAACTGAGCTGGATTCCTAGAGAGGACAGGAGATAAAGGTGGGGGAGGGGCAGGTCCTCCAGAGCAAAAGGCCCTCCCTCCCCAGTCCCTTTATTGAGCTACATAACTGGGAAACAGCGGCAAAGGCAACTGCTTATATACATTCCTGAAAGCCTGGGCCACTCCCAGTCCCAACGTGATTGGCTGTCTAAACTTCCAAGCTGTGAATCACGACTCTCAGTTCAAGGGCCAATGGCAGAGGCCCAAATCCTGAAATGTTCTGTGATTGGACATCATGTATCGAATCAGAACACAGGAGCTCAGAATCCTTAGTCCAGACTCGGGCTCAGGCAAACACAGACCCCTGAATACATAACAGGCTCCAGCCTCAAGATACACATGGCGCCCCCAAAAAGCATTTTTTTGGGGGTGCGGGGAGCCTGTTGGCATTTGTAGCGGTTAGAACATATTCAAAGCTGGATCAAAGCCAGGAGTTTCTGCCCAGGAATCAGAGGGGAAAAGAGTAGTCTAATGATCTGTCCTTCTGGCCAGGGAGCTCTGGGAATTGTAGCTCAAGTGGAAGGCGCTGGTGGGGGAGGGTCTCCCAACAACTCTAACCACTTGGGGGGGCTGTCTCTTTCAGCCCCACCCTAGGTTTGTCTCCTATAATCCTTGAATTGTAGATTTAGAAGGGCCCTCGAGGATCATCTAGTCCAGCCCACTGCAATGCAAGAGTCTCATCTACAGCATCCCTGGCAGGTGGCTGCCCGACCTCTTCTTAGAACCTTCCAAGGAAGGAGAGTCCCTTCCTCTTTCCAGCAGGGCCTCTCCTGCCTCGGATTCCTTGGCTGGGGAGACCTCCAGGGCTTCTCAGCAGGGCTTTCTGTTCAGTCTCTAAAGATCCCCTGAACACCTGAGGGGCCTCATGTCTGAATGGGCAATCACAGGTCGATCGGGAGTCTGATGGGTGGGTGGTGGGGAGAGCTTTACTTCCAACGGAAGGACAATAGAGGACTTGCTTGCATCTTGATCTCAGCATCTGAGGAGCCCTGCAGGATCAGGCCAGTGGGGTCCCCGTATTGAGTCCAGCCTCCTGTTCTTCTGGAAAGCCCACCAGCAAAAAGTCCTCCTTCCCAAAAACTGGGATTCAGAAGCAAGGCTGCCTTCGACTGGAGACAAAACATGAGCCCCCCTGGACCTCTCTTCCTCCATGCGTTGCCCTCATCCTCTTTGCTCTCCATCTTCCAACAATCTGTGTCTCTTTATAGCATAGGTCAGGTTTTCACTTCTATTCTTTGTTCATATTTTGTGTCCAAATGCTTTCATCTGCTTAATAAATGGGAATTTATGGGCTTTATGTTTTTGTGGTTCTCATTATTCCTGTTATTAGGATAGTGCCATTAGAATGCTGTTATAATAGAATCCAGTTCTCCAGAGCAAAGGTACCTCCTTCCAAGGGTTAAAATGAAGTGAGTGTTACATTCCTAGAGAGGACCGGAAATAAATGCAGGGGGGAGCAGGTCCTCCCAAGCAGAAGCTTCCCTGTCCTTTCCTGCAAGGGGCTGTTTTTTGTGGTTGTTGCCTCTGCTCTGCCTCTTCTGGGATCTGGTGAGTCTCTTCTCTCTTCTTGCATGGGGTGCATTGGGGAGGGTGCATGGGGGGCTGGGGGGCTGTTCGGCTCATGCAGGGGGAGATCCCCAAGTCAGGGAGCAGAGGGTCCTTCTCTTGCTAAGAGGCAAAGGGACCCCTGACCCTTAAGTCCGGTCAAAGGCAACTATGGGGTGCAGCGCTCATCTCGCTTTTCAGGCCAAGGGAGCAGGCGTTTGTCCACAGAGTTTCTGGGTCATGTGGCCAGCAGGACTAAATAATAATAATCAGTGCTTTTTTCTGGGGGGACGCAGGGGGACGAATACCCCTAGACATTTTCTGAATCTAAGTTTGGCCTCATTGAGGGGCAGTATTTCAATATGAGTAGGAAAATGAGAGTACCCCTAAACATTTTTAAAGGAAAAAAGGCATTGATAATAATACTAATTTATTACTTAGACCCCGCCCATCTGGCTGGGCCTCCCCAGACACTCTGGGCGATTCCCAACAGAATATTAAAAACACAATAAAACATCAAACATTAAAAACTTCCCTAAACAGTCTTCTGAAAAGTCAGATAGTTCTGTATCTCATTTACATCTGGTGGGAGGGTGTTCCACAGGGCAGGCGCCACCACCGAAAAGGCCCTCTACCTGGTTCTCTGTAACCTCACTTCTCACAGGGAGGGAACCGCCAAAAGGCCCTCGGAGGAGGACCACAGTGTCCTGGCTGGACGATGGGGGTGGAGACGCTTCTTCTGGCACAATGGGACACCAAGAGGGAAACCATAGTGCCCAGAAACGCTGTTTACCTTCCCGCTGCAGCAGTACCTATTTATCTACTTGCACTGCGTGCTTACGAACTGCTAGGTTGGCAGGAGCAGGGACCGAGCAACGGGAGCTAACCCCGTTGCAGGGATTTGAACCGCCGACCTTCTGATCAGCAAGCTCCAGAGGCTCAGTAAAGCCAGAGCGGGAGGCAAGTTCTCAGGAGGTCTGCAACTGTATTATTTACCTGGACCCATACACTTATTGCCACTTTAGGGAGGGGTCTCTGGATCAGGGGGAAAAGTGATGAGTTTATGGATTATTTGATTTCTATACCTCTTCATATATTAGAAAAATCTCTAAGCAGTGCACAGGAAACGAAAGCAAGCACAGACTACGTAAACAAAAATATTGCAAAAATACACAGTTGCATATAAAAATGTTACATTGATACAAAGTTACTCATATAGATAAATAATGTAAATCAGTGAAATTAATAAACCCCATTTATTAACCAGATGGAAACATTGGGACATAAAATATACACACACCAAAAAAATGAAAACCTGACCTATGCAAAAAATGAATAAACACTCTTAGAATACGGAGGGCAGAGACACATCCTCACTTAATAGAGAACTTTTTTCTTCTGACAGTGTGCAAATTTTATAACAGAACAATGTATTTGCTTTGTAGAATTTGCCAGCACCTCTCATTCAGAATTTGACAGGTGAAAAAGGGGATCCCTAACATTCTCTTGGAGGCTTCCTGAGAGCACAGATGCATGAGCAAGACTCAGCTGGCCCTGAAGCAGGAAGAGACCATGCTATGGAAACTGGGAGCAGTGGGGGATTCTGGGAAAGCTCTGGGCAGAAGATCCTGGGAGAGGAGGACACCCTTCGCTCAGAGGTGCAGAGCCGGCAGTTCAGCTGGTTCTGCTTCCAGGAGGCCAAAGGACCCCGAGAAGTTTGCAGCCAACTCTACCACCTTTGCCACCAGTGGCTGAAGCCAGAAAGGCACACGAAAGCTGAGATGCTGGACCTGGTGATCTTGGAGCAGTTCCTGGCTGTCCTTCCAGCGGAGATGGAGAGCTGGGTGAGGGAATGCGGAGCAGAGACCAGTTCCCAGGCAGTGGCCCTGGCCGAAGGTTTCCTCCTGAGTCAGGCAGAGGAGAGGAAGCAGGTGAGAGAGACTTTCCTCTGAATGCTCCCAAGGGGCTCAATAGATAAGGGAGAGTATCCCAAATGCTCTACTAATGGCCCATCCTTTGTTTTGGAAAGCATCCAAGGAGGGATATCAGAAACCTCTAAAGTTTTTGCCTCTTTCATTCTTATTCTGACCCTCTTCCCTGTTTGGAATCCTATTTCAGGGAAAGGTTCTGTTTGCAGAAACGGGTCCTGATTCCTCTGAGGCAGAGAGGACTTCATTGGACACCAGAGAGAAGCCGCTGGGTAAGGAGGAAGGAAGTTTTTCTTCTTTTGATTCCATACTGTTTATTTTGAAACTAATATTTTGGGAGAAGCCACTTGGGGCCAAGAACCCAAAGGAGATGAGATATATTTTAGCATAACTAAAATATGAAATGGGGACAAACTCCCAAATGCACCTCTGAGAGAAGCATCCTGCACTCCTGTCTCCCCACTTCCCTTTGTCTCTCACAGGTGAAAGAAGGATGCCGGCAAGACCTCCTCCTCCATCTCTTCATCCTGGTGGAGGGGAAGCAGCGGCTGAGGAACCGGATCAGGTGGGGGGAAGGAGCCTTGGGGGGAAAGAGGCAGAGGGGTGGGGCATTGGAATGCACAATTAAAAAAATTCCATTTAGACATTAAAATAAGCATCCATAGTCAAAATGTGTAGTGAAACAAAGCCATTAAAACAGCACAACAACAAACAGGCAGAAAACAACAGAACAATGTGTAGTCGATATGCTGTCTAAGGGGACGACCTTTTTCTTCTTTCAGGGACCAGTGTGTTTTGAAGATGTCGCTGTTTGTTTCATGGCTGAGGAGTGGGCGTTGCTGGATCCTGCCCAGAGAGCTCTGCATAAGGAAGTCATGGAGCAGAATCATGGGATCTTGGCTTCTCTAGGTAAGGTTCCCTCTTGAATCATAATATTTGTTTGGAAATTCCATAAATATATCTATGTGTGAAGCCTCCCAGATTTTGATTGAGCTCAACAGCACCACCTAGAGCATCTGTGATTATAACACCCTCACAGCTCACCTTGAATGGGGGGCTATGGATTCTTTTGTCTGTGGTTATTATTTCGCCATTGATGCCTTTTTAAACCATGATCTGGCTGTTTGAACTACCATGGACTTTTAAAATATAGACTTCAGAGTGGTTAGGGAATCATAGAATCATCTAGTCCCACCCCCTGCAATGCAGGAATCTCATCTAAAGCATTCATGACAGATGGTCTTCCAACCTCTTCTTAAAAACCTCCAAGGAAGTAAAGTTCATAACATTCCAATGGAGACAGTTCCACTGCTCAACAGCTCTTACCCTCAGAAAGTTATTTCTGGTAATTAGTCAGACTCTACTTTCTTGTAACTTCAAGCCATTGGTTTGGATCCTACCCTCCAGAGCAGGAGAAAACAAGCTTGTTCCTTCTTCCATGTGGCAGCCCTTGAGATATCTGAAGATGGCTCTCATATCTCCTCTCAGTCTCCTGTTTTGCAGGCTAAACATACCCAGCTCCTTCAACCGTTCCCCATAAGGCTTGGTTTCCAGACCCTTGATCATCTTGGCTGCCCTCCTCTGCACACCTTCCAGCTGGTCAGCATCCTTCTAAAATTGTGGTGCCCAGAACTGGAAACACTATTACAGATGTGGTCTGACCAAGCCGGAATAGAGTGGGACTATTGCTACCCTTTATCTGGACACTAGACTTCTGTTGATGCTGCCTAGAAGATCATTCGCCTTTTTTGCTGCTGCATCACACTATTGTCTTATATTAAGCCTGTGGTCAGCTAAGACCTCTAGATACTTTCCACATGTACTACCATAAGGCCAGGTGTCCCCCATCCTGTATTTGTGCATCTTGTTCTTCCTGCCTAAGTGAAGAACCTGACATTTGTCTCTGTTGAAATTCATTTTGTTAGCTGGGGCCTAGTTCTTCAATCTGTTAAGGTCATTTTGATTTCTGGTTCTTTCTTCTGTGACATTAACTACCCTTCCCAGTTTGGTGTCATCTGCAAATTTGATTTGCATCCCCTAAATTCCTCTATCCATGTCATTTATAAAGCCATTGTACAACAACAGATTCTGACAATTTTTTTGTTTTTGCTTTTGCTTTTGCTCTGGTCTGTTTTTTGTTGACCAAAGAGATGACAGACTAGAGATGGCCCAGATTCCATGATTGAGTCAAACAAAATCTGTCCCAGAAAAGAACCAGTCTTGTCAAATCTTAAGTTTCCATAAATATGTCCCTGAATGCCAGTCAACAAAGGCAGTTAACCGTGAAGTACGTTCTCCCATCTAACTCCCTTCAGTTCCTCCTCTCTCAAAAGCGTTAATGAGCTTTGTTCAATAACAGGGGGCTCCATTTTTTTCTGAGGCTTTAATCCATTTCTCTCTTCATTGCAGTTCGAGATGGATTGGAAATTAAGAACAAGGGAGACCACGACAAAATCCACACGGAGAAGCCATATCAATATTCGGAGTCTGGAAAGAACTTTAGCCAGAGCTCCCATTCAGTTTCCCATGAAAGAAGTCCCGTTGGGAACGAACCCTGTCAGTGCTTGGAGTCTGTTAAGGGCTCTCATATAAGCACAAGCGTCTGTCGACATCAGAGAATTCACAGTGGGGAGAAACCATATCAGTGCTTGGAATGTGGGAAGAGCTTCGTCTGGAAGATAAGTTTGACTTCCCATCAAAGAATTCATAGAGGGGAGAAACCATATCTGTGCTTGGAATGTGGGAAGAGGTTCAACCAGAGAGCCCATCTCACTTCCCATCAAAAAATTCATACAGGGGAGAAACCGTATGAGTGCCTAGAATGTGGGAAGAGGTTCAGCCAGAGGACCCACCTCAGTTCCCATCGAAGAATCCATACAGGAGAGAAACCATACCAGTGCTTGGAATGTGGAAAGGGCTTCAGTCAAAGGGCCCACCTCACTATCCATGAAAGAATTCATACAGGGGAGAAACCATATCAGTGTACGGAATGTGGGAAGAGCTTCCGTAAGAGTTCCGTTCTCACTAACCATCAAAGACTCCATACGGGGGAGAAACCATATCATTGTTTGGAATGTGGGAAGAGGTTCAATGAGAAAACGAATCTAATTTCCCATGAAAGAATCCATACAGGGGAGAAACCGTATCAGTGTGTGGAATGTGGGAAGAGCTTCCGTAAGAGTACTTTTCTCACTTCCCATCAAAGAATCCATACGGGGGAGAAACCATATCAGTGTCTGGAGTGCGGGAAGAAGTTCAGTCAGAAGGCCCACCTCACTTCACATCGGAGAACTCATGCAGGTGAGAAACCATATCAGTGCTTGGAATATGGAAAGAACTTCAGTCATAGCATCTCTCTCACTTCCCACAAAGAATTCACAAGGGAGAAACTCTAACTGTCCTTGGAATGTGGAAATACCTTTGAAGGATCAAGCTCACTCCCCATCAAAGAAGTCACAGCGGGGAGAATCATAGGATCATGGAGTCATAGAGTTGGAAGGGATTCTGATGGTTATCTAGCTGAACCCTGTGCAAAGCAGGAATCTCAGCTAAAGCATCCATGACAGAGGACCATCCAACCTCTGCTTAAAAACTTTCCACTTTCCACCACCTTCTGATGGCATCTGTTCCTCAGTCAGATAGATCTTACCTTCAGAAGTTCTGCCTGATGTTTAGTCAGAATCTCCTTTCTTGTAACTTGGAGCCGTTGGTTGAAGTTCTATCCTGTGGAGAAGGAGAAATCACATCTTCCATGTGACATCCCTTTAGATATTTGAAGATGCCTATCATATCTCCATGCACTCTTCTCTGTGATAATCACCCCCAGCTCCCTCAAGCATTCCTCATAAGTCTCAGTATTCAAGACCTCCCTTTTTGTGATATTATTTTATTTTCCTTATAGAAAGTTACATTTGTTAATCAACAATTATATTCCAATTCAATAAAACTAGCAACTTCCCGCTTAATAATAATAATAATAATAATAATAATAATTTATTATTTATACCCCACCCATCTCGCTGGGTTTTCCCAGCCACTCTGGGTGGCTTCCAACAAAATATTAAAATACAGTAGTCGGTCAAACATTAAAAGCTTTCCTAAACAGGGCTGCCTTCAGATATCTTCTAAAAGTCTGGTGGTTGTTTTTCTCTTTGACATCTGGTGGGAGGGTGTTCCACAGGGCGGGCGCCACTACCGAGAAGGCCCTCTGCCTGGTTCCCTGTAACTTGGCTTCTCGCAGCCAGGGAACCGCCAGAAGGCCCTTGGAGCTGGACCTTCCATGTCTGGGCTGAACGATGGGGGTGGAGACGCTCCTTCAGGTATACTGGACCGAGGCCATTTAGGGCTTTAAAGGTCAGCACCAACACTTTGAATTGTGCTTGAAAATGTACTGGGAGCCAGTGTAGGTCTTTCAGGACCGGTGTTATGTGGTCTTGGCGGCCGCTCCCAGTCACCCGTCTAGCTGCCGCATTCTGGGTTAGTTGTAGTTTTTGGGTCACCTTCTAAGATAGCCCTGCTTAAGGGAAGTGTTCATGCTGCTTCCCTTGTGATTTAAGATTCAGGTTTCAGCCCTTGAGATCTCTCAGGTATCATATCTCCTCTTAGGCTTCTGTTTTCCAGGCTAAACATACCCAGAACACACCCAAGGCAGAACTGAGTGGTGCTATGACTTCCATTGCTCTGCACACCAGACTTCTGTTGATTCAGCCTAGAACAGCATTAGCTTTCCCCCCCTGCAGCATCACATTGTTGATTCCTATTCAGCTTTTCTTCCATTAAGACCCCTAGATCCTTTTCACATGTCCTTACGGCAAGCCAGGCGTCCCCCATCCTATATTTGTGCAGCTGATTGTTCCTGCCTAAGCGCAGAACCTGACATTTGCCCTTATTGAAATTCATTTATTGCCTTCATATATCACCTTCAAGGAGCTCGAGGTGGTGCCACATAGTTCTCCCCCTCCTTTTGTAATCCTGACAATAACCCTGTGAGGTAGGTTAGGCTATGAAGCAGTATCTGGCCCCCCAGTGTGGGAATTTGAACCCAGGTCATCGTCCAGCCCTCCTTCCAGTATACTACACTGACTCTCTAATGAGTCTCTTAGAAATTGTGCATGCATGGGTGTCTGCTTAAAGTTCAGTTGTGGTGTTCTGGTGTTTGTACGCATGTGTAACAAAGTAATTAATATAATAAGAACAGTATAATAGTAGATTTAAGGTAATGATAGCTAGTGAGGGGTAAAGTGTGAGTTTGGGATGTTGGGGGGTGAGAGGTGATTGGCTAAGAGTTTGAAAAGGATTTTGAATAAAACATACAATCAGGCCTGTGGCTTTGCATATCGTCTTAAATGTGTTTGTGGGAGGGCGGTGATTGGTTTGTTTCGTTGTATGAAGGCAGTATACAAATTGAATGAATTAAATACAAAAAGTAGTCATAAGCAATAAATAAAACATTTAAAAATGCAAAACCAAACCGAACAATTTCCACATAAATCGCAAGAGCTAAAAAAAGCAAAATAGCCACACAGGTACAACTCCCTATGAAACATTTGAAACCATGTGCTTATGTATACAAAGTTATCTTAAAAACCTAATTATTAAATAAATCAGCTGTGTTCCAACACACACTTCATTCTTCACTCCTTTAGGGTGAAGTGTTCAGGGAAGAGTTCTCTGGGGTGTCACTGGGAATAAAGGGGGTGTTTGGTGGAAGACCCAGTCAAGACCCAGCTCCCAGCTGTGCCCCTTGAATGCAGTGGGGAGGGGGCGCAGGAGGGGGGGCGCTGCCAGAGCCCCTCTGAGCCAAGGCGGTGGCAGCGCAACACAGGGAGACAAACGAGACCTCTGCAGAAGTAGAGCTCATCTAGAGCTCTTCATAAAAGCAAACCTAGCTATACAGCAATGTACCAACCAAGCACAAACACAGATATGTGGACCCCATGCCTGGAGCAGCACAGGAAGACCCTGCTGAAACCATGTTGACTCCCAAACTGACCAAATGTTTCCTGGGCAAGGAGGGAGGGGGCGAGGGAACCTTCCCATTGTCTCAGGAATTGGGAAATCACCATCTCAAAGGAATGGCCAGACTACCAGGAAAGGCAATCAGATAAGGCATCATCAGATAACCTGGCAGACAGGAAAAACAACAACATTCAAATATCTGTTGCAGATCGCCTTTTCTGTGATGTAGGCATGATGTTTGTGGGGGGTGATCTTGGCTTACACCCCTTCTGTGATGTATGTATGATGTATGGAGGGGCGGTCTTGAGCTCCAGGGCAGGGAATTTAAAATGTCTGTATAAGGGCAGGCACGCCTTGGTTCGGGGTCCTCCTCAGGGGCGAGCACCCTGTTGCAGCAGATCAATAAAGATCAGGCTTACTAGCTGCCTTGCTTCTCAATATTCTCTGGTTGGCCTCTGTTCTTTTCTCCGACCGATAGAGAACCTGCAAATGACTCTCTAAGGGCTCTTGTGTCCCCCATAAGGGAAGAAGGGCAGATTTTTGTCTATTACAGTGCAGTGTTCCCTCAGCCTGCTCTCCTCTCCCTCCTCCTTGGGAGTCCTCTGGACAGCCGCTGCTGCTGCCCTGGTCTCTGAGCTGCCCCACAGAGAGGTGTCTCCTCACGCTGCCCCACAGGGGCCTGGGACTTGTCTGTCCATTCCTACCAGCAAGGGCTGGCAGATGGGCTGGCTGGGCTCCCTCGCCCGCTTGCTTGCTTCCTCCGAACCCACTTCAGCTGCTGCTAACCAGCACCCCCTGGCCTGCCCCAGAGGCACCATTTGTCAGGGGAGCTGGTGACCAAGGCTGCTGCAACAAACAGCTGGGCCAGCCTTTGGGAGGCAGAGACATAGTAATAATAATAATAATAATAATAATAATAATAATAATTTTTATTTATACCCCGCCCTCCCCAGCCAAGGCCGGGCTCAGGGCGGCTAACAAGCAATAATAAAAACAAGTTGAATGATTACAACTTAAAAAACAAGATTAAAATACAACATTAAAATATTGAAACATTAAAATATTAAAATGTAGCCTCATCGCAGGAGGAGAAAGGAAAAAAAAAAAGAAAGAGAGGGAGGGAATCAAATTGGCTCCAAGCCAAAGGCCAGGCGGAACAACTCTGTCTTACAGGCCCTGCGGAAAGAAATCAGATCCTGCAGGGCCCTGGTCTCATGAGGCAGAGCGTTCCACCAGGCCGGGGCCAGAGTTGAAAAGGCCCTGGCTCTGGTTGAAGCCAATCTAACTTCCTTAGGGCCCGGGACCACTAGGGTGTTGCTATTTATGGACCTTGAGGCTCTCCGTGGGGCAGACCAGGAGGGGTGGTCCCGTAGGTATGAGGGTCCTAGGCCGTGAGGGCATCAGAGGAGGGAGTGAACAAAAGAAGGCCAGAGTTGCCTGCAGCACCCCTGAGCATCACTCAAGGCACCCCAGGGTGCCACAGCACGCTGATTGAAAACCACTGCGTTAAGTAATATGTTTGAATGTTGAAGGTGTGTGTCTAGAGACAATGGATAAGACAAACACCGTTCCATGTCCTGCTGGACAAGTGTCCGAGTCCAGAGTCCCTCAGCATGCACCTAGTCATCTCCACAAGAGACTGAAACTTTCCCTCCATGACTGAGTTTTGTTGCATGGTGTGGCTCACACACCTCCCCTTCCTCTTCCAGGAGGGTTCTCATGTGGCTTGAGGTAAACTTACCTCATTGTCGCTGACCAGAGTTGTGAGTTTCCTCTGAAACTTGCTGCTCACTGTGGCCAGGTATTTTCTGAACATCTCCACTGCTTCACTTTTCTCTTTTAGAAGTACCTTGAGAAAACACCCAGAAAAATTAGAATATACTTCACACACATCTGCATACACTACACTCTGGTGCTTTTCTGTTATACAGTGGTACCTTGGGTTACAAACGCTTCAGGTTACATACGCTTCAGGTTACAGACTCCACTAACCCAGAAATATTACCTTGGGTTAAGAATTGTCGGCTATGATCGTTTTGAATTCTGATTCTGTTTTCTATGGCATGAGCTGTCCCTCCCAGTTTGGTGTCATCTGCAGATTTGTTGAGCATCCCCTAAATTCCTTCATCCACCTCATTTATAAAGACTTTGAACAACATCGGGCCCAGGACAGAACCCTGCGGCACCCCACTTGTCACTTTTTCTAGGATGACAAGGACCCATTATGCAAAACTCTTAACTTCACATACTCACTCCTGGAATCTGGACAGGTAGAGATGGACCAGGAGTGAGACCTTGGGGGTTGGAGCAGGCAGCTCCTCAGTGAAGATGTAGATGCAGTGTGTGGTGACTGTGAAAAAAGACAAACTTCACACCAGGGATCGCTAGGAAAGGAGTGGAAAATAAAACTGCACTTCCTATGATGCCTTCACAGGAATCTATGGTGTGACTGCATTTGGGGCACAATCTCCAGTCCAGGAAACAGTTTCAGCAAAGGGCCGCCGAAATGACCAAGGGGGGTGGCCGACTTTCCTATGGGGATGTCTAGTTTAGAGGAACTGGACAGAAGTCTGCCTGGCCTGGAGAAAGCGCAGAGAGAGAGAGAGAGAGAGAGAGAGAGAGAGAGCGGGGCTGCGCTGGCTTGCAAAGGGTTAAAAGGCACGAAGCTGGATTCCTAGAGAGGAGATCCAGGCCGGGGGGGGGGGCTCCTGATCCGAAGCCCCTCCCGGCCCAGTGTCTCCTCCGCACGTGCATCGGTGGTCTCTTGGGAATCCGGTGGGTCTCTGCTCTTCTTGCCTAGGGTGCAATGGGGCGAAGGGGGCAGGGGGGTGCAGGGAGGGCCTTCTCAGCCCATGCACGGGGGGGGGGGCAGGGAGCAGAGGGTCCTGCACCTTCCTTCTCTCCTGGGGGGCTCCTTCTGCAAGAGGGGGGGCAGCTGTCTCTCTGCCCCTCCTGGCCTCGGGTGAGTCTCTCCTCTCTTCTTGCAAAGGGTGCAATGGGGAGAAGGGGGCAGGGGGAGGGCTGCTCAGCTCAAGCAGCAGGGGGACCCCCAAGTCCGGGGGGGGGGGGCAAGGAGGGGCGCCTGCAGCTCTTCTTCCTCGGCCCTTTGGCGGGGGGGGGGCTGCAAAGAAACCCAGTTCAAAGCACTGATCATCTGCAGGGGTTGTCGCCCAGCAGAAACATTAAAATGTACGCAAAAAATAAAAAGCAAAACCTGACCTATGCAAGAAAGAAAGAAAGTCTGTTGGAAGAGGGGAGGGGGCAAAGAAAAGAAAGCGCTTCTTGGTGCGGGGCAGAGTCGAGCCTGCGGAACTCCCTGCCACTTGAGGCCAGGCTGGGAGCAGGGCGGGGAGGAGGAGGAGGAGGGGCTCTGCTTGGCTTCTGGTCTCCCCAGAGATGCTGCTGAATCCCAGCTGCTGGAAGGAGCGCAGGGGAGAGAGGGGCTCTTGCGCCCCATCCTGCTGGGGGGCTTCCCATTCAGGCCCCAGTGGGAACGGGAGGGGGGAGTCCGGAGGGGCCCAAGGGCCTGATCCTGCAGGGCTCCTCTCCTACTCCGATGCTGAGCTCCTCAGTTGGAGTGAAGCTTCCCTACCACCACTTGTGAATCAGACAAGGGAGTTATCGGGACTCCAGGCTGACACTCATGTGCCCATTCAGACATGCAGCCGCTCAGGTGTTCAGGGGATCTTTAGGACTGAACAGAAAGCCCTGCTGAGAAGCCCTGGAGGTCTCCCCAGCCAAGGAAACTGAGGCAGGAGAGGCCCTGCTGGAAAGAGGAGCAGGATCCCTTGGGAAGACTCTCTCAGGGATGCTGGAGTTGAGATTCCTGCATCGCAGCGGGTTGGGCTGGATGACCCTCAGGAGCCCCTTCCAAACCTACAGTTCTCTGACCCCAGAGCCATTGGAGGATGGAAGTTTTTAAATGTTTATTTATATGTTGGAAGCCTCCCAGAGTGGCTGGGGGAACCCAGTCAAATGGGTGGGGTATAAATAGTAGAATAATAATCATAATAATCATAATCATAATCATAATGGAATAGGAGGGTCCTATATTCATTAGGACCTCAGCGCCTAGGACTTGCCGATTGCATGGCCGGCGGTTCGAATCCCCGCGGTGGGGTGCGCTCCCGCCATTCGGTCCCAGCGCCTGCCAACCTAGCAGTTCGAAAGCACCCTCGGGTGCAAGTAGATAAATAGGGACCGCTTACCGGCGGGAAGGTAAATGGCATTCCGTGTGCTGCGCTGGCTCGCCAGAGCAGCTTCGTCACGCTGGCCACGTGACCCGGAAGTGTCTCCGGACAGCGCTGGCTCCCGGCCTCTAGAGTGAGATGAGCGCACAACCCTAGAGTCTGGCAAGACTGGCCCCTACGGGCAGGGGTACCTTTACCTTTTTATATTCATTAGAGAAATGTTGGAGGGTATGCAGTCAATCTTCTTTTGAAAGATCTGGACTTTGAACAATCTTTTCGTGTAATTAAAAGTAATCCTGCCTTTGCTCTGCTAAATAGTGTATTTTTTGCTCTACAAGACTCACTTTTTGCCTCCTAAAAAGTAAGGGGAAATGTGTGTGCGTCTTATGGAGCGAATGCAGGCTGCACAGCTATCCCAGAAGCCAGAACAGCAAGAGGGATTGCTTCTGAGATTCAGAATATTTTTTTTCTTGTTTTCCTCCTCCAAAAACTGGGTGCATCTTGTGGTCTGGTGTGTCTTATAGAGCAAAAAATATGGTACTTTGCAGCATGGAAATGGTGACGGTGATGATAATTCTTCAATAATAATAATAATAATTCCACTGCATCGTTTTTTCTTTTTTAATATTTTCTTTTAAAGATTTTTTGTTTGCATTCATACCAATATAACAAAACAATATATTTTGGAGGTTCTTGACCCCTGGACTTCCCCCCACCCCCTCTACATTATTTTCTCTGTGCTCAGCTGAGGTGCCTGTGGCTCAGCTATTCATGCCTGTTGCTTGGGAATTTTAGGCCTACTCCTGGTTCCTGCATTTAATAATAATAATAATAATAATATTTATACCCCACCTGTCTGAGTAGGTTTCCCCAGCCACTCTGGGCGACTTATTCTGCTGGGCTAAGTCATTACCTAAAAGTATTTGCACATCTCTCTCTTCCCAGACTCCTCTTGAGGGGTTGTTGGTTTTTGTTGTTTTTATTGTATATTTTGTGTTTTTAATATTGTGATTTTATGTTGTGAGCACCCTGAGACCTGTGGGTATAGGATGGTATACAAATTAAACAAATTAATTTGATAAATTTGATCAGCAAAGTGTTGAATTGAGCCTCATCATAATCCTACATATTTTTATGTGTTTGTAAGTTGTCCCTGCAGCTATGAATGAAAACAAATAAAGGCACTAGAGGACTAATCTGCATGGTATTATTATTATTTTAAAATCCAAAGTTCACAAGCTAAGAAACTGGTTTCTCTGGTGGCAGATAAAAAAATTAAGTATAACTTGTCTTTGCATCCTTGATGGAACTGTCTTAAACAAAATCTGCGCCGACGTTTTAAAAAACTGCACCAGAGTTTCTGAGCTCCTCTCAGCAGCTTCCAAATGCAAGAATTATCAGATTTAAGGCATTTGTATTCACGTCTGTGAATGTGGGTTCAGGCTGACACAAGTGGGAATAGTTCCTGGCATTTCATAAAATGAAATTCAATTAAATGAATAAAATAATAATAGTTCCTGCCTCCTTCGCCTCAGCCTCCAGGCCACCATTTCCCTGCCAGATTCTGGCCTCTCTTTGCACCATCTTGGCCTGGATTCAAGTCCCCTCAGATCCCTCAATCCCCTCAGCCCCTCCTTGGCTGCCATTATTATTATTAATATTATTAATTGCATTTATAGTCCTCCCCATAACTCTCTCCCCGGCCAGCTCTGCTCCGCTTGACCAGCGTCTCTGGGCTGAACTGATTATTTCCGTTTTCTCCCCTTTGGGGCAACAGAGTCCTTTCCAAACCAAGCAGAAAGGCTCCTTCTTCCCTCCATTTTCCCGCCTGGTCTCTGGGAATTTCCCCTTTTTCCCCCTGAGGGAATTCATTTCTCCCTTCTCTGCCCTCAGCTGCATCTCCTGTGCCTGAGGGACATTTCTTTTTGGGCCTCTTTTCTAGGTCTCACTTTCTGCATCTTCCGCCTGAGTTTTGGCTCACAATATTTGACGTTTTCTCTTCAGCGCAGCCTCTTTTTCCTTGTCCGCCTTTTTCCCGCCAACTGAATCTGTTTTCTTCAAAGCCTGAGCTTCTCTGTCAGGTTTGGGTTTCCTCCATTTTGTCTCCTGACTGAAATTCCCTCAGAGGTTTTTCCTCCGTTTCTGCTTCTGCCTGACTCGCTCTTCCCTTCAGGAGTCCTGGGTCACGGTGGGGCCTTCTCCTCACAGAACTCTCTTTCCCTCACAAAATAGACAACTTTCTGCAGGAATTCATTCTCCTCCTGAGTTATACTTCCTGTCATGACTCTTCCACCATTTGAGGCAAACCCTCCAACTCTCTAGGACTCCTAGAGATATATATATATTTAACCACCACAGGTTCTCTCTTGGATTTTGTGTGAGGGAAACCTTAGATGCTTGGAGACTCAGGGAGACGTTGAACGGATAAGAAAGGTTTTATTTACAAAACCAAGTTGGTAAAACAAAGAAGGGTCAGGAGTTGTGTCCTTTCAGGAAACAGTGAACTTATGAATGACACTAAACCTAAAGAGCTTTCAGGCCTTAAAACAAAGAAGTAAACGCCCAGCTTCTCTTCAACTTCTCTGGCTAAAAATCAAAGGTAGATGTTCCACTTTCTAGAAGAGGAGGTGAAATGCTTCACTCGGTTCCTCTTTCCTCCCTCTCATTCCTTTACTCAGTTCTGAGTTCAATCCTTTGGACGCAGCCCAGCTTCCTTCTCTGCTTAAAACTGGGGCTCCCTTTCCGTCACTTCCCCTCTCTCTTGGCAATCCCACTCCTCAGGGGTTTCCAAATAGCAACGCATATCTGGCTCTGCGGGGGTTAAGCGGTGTAACACTATTATTATTATTAATATTATTAATTTATAACCCACACTTCCCCTTAAGTTCCCAGGGAAGAGGACACCATTAAAACCATTTAAAACAAGTTGCAGTGACAGAAAGAAACTGAGTTGTGCTTTACTTGCTTTTTAGCACTTTCCTACCCACATGAACCTTAGTCTCATGCATGTGGCCCTCTGGGGCTTGGCCAGATCAGGATTTGGCCCTCAGAACAAGAAAAAGGGATCCCACCCCAGGAGTCTGTCTGGAGATGTTGGAGATGCAAAGTGCTAGAAGCAGAAATGTGTCCTGAAGGGGCTGGGAGGGAGAGCAACTCTTGAGGAGCCCAGGATGAGGACCCTCAAGAGAGACTAGTGTCCACACTTGGAACAAATGATTCACTTCTCCATCACTGTTCTGCTTCTATCCCTGGGCTGAAAACACCGAGAGGCAGGAGCCTCCAGGCTCCTTCGTCGGACAGAAATCTCTTCCGTTGCCTCCACTTTTGGCCTGGTCACTTTCCTTCCAGGAGAGCAAGAGGATTTCTTCTTCTTCATTCTTCTTCCTTTCCTTCTTAAATAAAGCTCAGAGTCTGGCCTGTGATGTAGTCATACTCTGGTTCCTAGCAAGACTCATCCACACTTGCTCAGAGAACCTTTCTATTCTCCTGACAGCGGGTCAATTTTATAACAGAACAATATATTTCCTTTGTAGAATTTGCCAGCACCTCTAATTCAGACAGTCAGAACTTGACCAAAGAAATAATGGATTCCTTCCTAAAGATGCATGAGCAAGACTCAGCTGACCCTGGAGCAGGAAGAGGCCATGCTATGGAAACTGGGAGCAGTGGGAGATTCTGGGAAGGCTCTGTGCAGAAGATCCTGGGAGAGGAGGACACCCTTCGCTCAGAGGTGCAGAGCCAGCAGTTCAGGCAGTTCTGCTCCCAGGAGGCCAAAGGACCCCGTGAGGTTTGCAGCCGACTCCACCACCTTTGCCACCAGTGGCTGAAGCCAGAAAGGCACACGAAAGCTGAGATGCTGGACCTGGTGATCTTGGAGCAGTTCCTGGCTGTCCTTCCAGCGGAGATGGAGAGCTGGGTGAGGGAATGCAGAGCAGAGACCAGTTCCCAGGCGGTGGCCCTGGCCGAAGGTTTCCTCCTGAGTCAGGCAGAGGAGAGGAAGCAGGAGGAGAAGAAGCAGGTGAGAGAGACTTTCCTCTGGATGCTCCCAAGGGGCTCCAAACAGGAGGGAGAAGATCCCTAAATCCCATCCTTTTTTTTGTCCCAGCCATTCCTTTTCAAACCCATCTCCACATTCTCTAATTGCTCATCCTTTTCCCTTTTTTAAACATTCTCTACATTCTCTATTACAAATTCTTGTTGCTCTTTCAGGAAAAGGATCTGTTGGCAGAAACGTGTCCTGATTCCTCTGAGGCAGAGTGGACTTTGTTGGACACCAGAGAGAGGCCGCTGGGTAAGGAGGAAGTTTTTCTTCTTTTGATTCCATTCTGTTGATTCTGAAACTAATCTTTTGGGAGAAGCCACTTGGGGCCAAGAACCCAAAGGAGATGAGATATATTTGAACATAACTAAAATATGAAATGGGGACAAACTCCCAAATGCACCTCTGAGAGAAGCACCATGCACTATTGGCTCCCCACTTCCCTTTGTCTCTCACAGGGGAAAGAAGGATGCCGGCAAGATCTCCTCCTCCATCTCTTCATCCTGGTGGAGGGGAAGCAGCGGCTGAGGAACCGGATCAGGTAGGAAGAAGGAGTCTTGGGGGGAAAGAGGCTGAGGGTGAGGGACAGAGGGCATTTCTGAGACAGAACAAATCTCTCCCCTCCGCATTGCTTCTGTCAAAGCTGCCCTTAACAAAGGCTGAAAAGGCCATTAATGAAGGGTTATGCTCTGAGGATAATGAGTTGCCAATTCACCTTAACTCTGAATGTCGCTAGTATTATTTCTTACAAATTGTCTTTAGGACATCTGGATAGTCTTTTCATTCCAGAACAAAACTTAGGGAGAGGAGAGAGGGATTCTTCCATTTGGCAAACTGGAACCCTTGCACAGAGACAATGATCTGAATAAAACAACATGGAGTTCATTAAAATAAGCACCAATAATCCAAATGTGCAGCAGACCAATCCTATTAGAACAACCCAGGCAGGAAGCAAAAGAGCAACGTGCAGGAAATGATTTTTATGCTGCCTAAGAGAAGGATCTTTTTCTTTCAGAGCTCAGTTTCTTTTGAAGATGTCGCTGTTCATTTCACGGCTGAGGAGTGGGCGTTGCTGGATCCTGCCCAGAGAGCTCTGCATAAGGAAGTCATGGAGGAGACTTGTAGGACCATGATCTCTCTGGGTAAAGTTCCCTCTTGGGTCATAATCTCTGTTTTGGAATTCAGGAGATATTTCTCTGGGACAATCCTCCCATATTTGGATGGATCCCAACGTTGCCACCTAGAGCACCTGGGATTCTCACCCCCACAGCTCACCCTGCATGGAGGGCTGGGGACTGTTTTTTCTGTGGATATTGTTCCTCTGCTTCTCTCTTTTTGCACAAGGATCAGGATGTGGATAGGCTTTCTGATTGTTTTGAAACAATCAGTTGTTCCATATCCAGTTCTAACTGTAGCTTCTGGCTTAGGAACAGCTTTCTTTCTTTCTTTCTTTCTTTCTTTCTTTCTTTCTTTCTTTCTTTCTTTCTTCCCTTCATACAGTTGTAAAGCTATGGACTTTTCTTCATCTACTGCTGACTCAGGTTTTTCCCCAACAGATTCTGCCCATTCTCTCATCTGCAGTCTCTCAAACCTCTCCAACCATTCTGCACATTTCGTCTCTTAGCTGTTGGTTATGACATATCAAAAATCAAAAGGCATTCATTGTTATTTTTGCTATGATTTACTAATTATGATCTATTAGTTCTCCTCCCTTGACTGTCTCTGCTTCTCTGCACTTATAAATAGTTACCGTCGGTTTTCAGTCCGTTTCACATAGAAAAAACAAACAGAACGGAGATTTACAAACAGTGTAGCTTTGAAGCTAAAGGCAAAGTTTCAGAACTATATATTCATTTTAATCTTTTGAAATCAGCAGTACTTAGTTTTGAGCTTTTTTGAGATATTTTCCAGACCCATTTAGAATTCTGTCATTACCCAGTAGTTTAATTCTCCCCTGCACGCTAGGTAATTGGTAGACAGAGAATCCAATTCATATTCAAAAAGACTTCTGACCTTGCAGATGGAGTTGGTTTGATGATTGAGTCAAAGAAATTTCATCCCAAACAAGAACAAGCTTTTTGAATCTGAATTTCCCATAAATATTTCTTTCTTAGGCTCTGATTTGTTCCTCTCTTCATTGCAGTTGATGATGAATCAGAAATTAAGAACAAGGGACAACACAACAAAATCCACACAGTGGAGAAGCCATATCAAGATTTGGAGTGTGGGGAGAACTTCAGTCAGAGCTCCCATGCCACTTCCCATCAAAGAAATCCTATTGGGAAGAAACCCTATCCGTGTTTGGAATGTGGAAAAAGCTTCAGTGACAGCAGCAATCTCGCTTCCCATCAAAGAATTCATACAGGGGAGAAACCATTTCAGTGCTTGGAATGTGGAAAGAGCTTCAATCACAGCTCACATCTCAAAGCCCATAAAAGAATTCATACGGGGGAGAAGCCATATCAGTGCTTAGAATGTGGGAAGAGCTTCAGTCAGAGCAGCCCTCTCACTTCTCATTTAAGAATTCATACAGGGGAGAAACCATATCAATGTTTGGAGTGTGGAAAGAGCTTCAGTCGGAAGAATAGTCTTACTTCCCATCAAAGAATTCATACAGGAGAGAAACCATATCAGTGCTTGGAATGTGAGAAGTGCTTTACTACGAGAAGTGACTTTCATCAACATAAGAGAATTCACAGTGGGGAGAAACCATATCAGTGCTTGGAATGTGGGAAGAGCTTCAGTCAGAGGGCCAATCTTAAGTCCCATCAAAGAATTCATACAGGGGAGAAGCCATATCATTGTTTGGAATGTGGGAAGAGCTTCAGTCGCAGCTCTTATCTCACTTCCCATCGAATAATTCATACATGGGAGAAACCGTATCAGTGCTTGGAATGTGGAAAATTTTTCACTACAAGCAGATACTTCCGTCTACATCAGAGGATTCACAGTGGTGAAAAACCATATCAGTGCTTGGAATGTGGGAAGTTCTTCACTACAAGCAGATACTTCCATCGACATCGAAGTATTCACAGCGGAGAGAAACCATACCAGTGTGTGGAATGTGGAAAGAGCTTTTCCAGGAAGGACAGTCTCACTTCTCATCAAAGAATTCATACAGGGGAGAAGCCGTATCAGTGCTTGGAATGCACAAAGTGCTTTGCTGCAAGAAAAGAGTTATGGCGACATAGGAGAATTCACACTGGGGAGAAACCATTTCAGTGCCAAGAGTGCGGAAAGAGATTCACCTTCAAGCAAACTCTCACTTCCCATGAAAGAACTCACAGCGGGGGAAATCCTGGAATTATAGAATAGTAGCTTTAGGAGGAATCTTGAGGGTCATCTAGTCTGACCAATGCAATGCATCTTCTTGATGTTTAATCAGATTCTTCTTTCTTGTTATGTTCTTGTGGGGTTACATGGTTCTTCATCTCCTTTTCAATCACTGTGAGTTAGGTTAGGCTCCCCAAGGCTGTCCAGTGAGCTTCATGGTCAAGTAGGGATTTGAACCCACGTCTCCCAGGGTGTAGTCGAATCCTGTAGGCCAGGGGTGGCCAACTTCCAAGAGACTGCAATCTACTCACAGATTAAAAAACTGGCAGTGATCTACCCCCATTTTTAGGGGTTCAGGTCAAAGCCCCATTTTTAGGGGGTTTGGGAGGCATAAGTTGGTTGGCTTTCGGGGGGGCACAACATTTTTACATTATTTTGGGGTCAAAGAGAAACAGTAGCTCACCGAAGGATGACAGCGGGGCAGGGCAAGGTAGCGATCAACAACGATCTACCAAAACCTTGCAATCGACCTGTTGGACATCCCTGCTCTAGGCAATATACTACACTGGCTCTCCCATGAGGCTCTTAGAAATTGTTTGTGCATGTCTGGTGTTTGTATTTAAAGCTGTATACTCCTCTAGCAAAGTAATTTATGAATGTAAAGAAACTGAAGGTACATTTTTTCACCTTTGGTGGACGTGCCCAAAGATTAAGGCTTTCTGGGAAATGATATATAATGAATTAAAAAAGGTATTTAAGTATACCTTCCGTAAGAAACCAGAGGCCTTTCTCCTGGGCATAGTCGGCCAAATGGTGTTAAAAAAGGATAGAACTTTCTTTATGTATGCAACAACAGCAGCAAGAATACTCATCGCAAAGTATTGGAAGACACAAGAACTTCCCACGCTGGAGGAATGGCAAATGAAACTTATGGACTATATGGAACTGGTGGAAATGACTGGTAGAATCCGTGACCAGGGAGAAGAGTCGGTGGAGGAAGATTGGAAGAAATTCAAAGACTATCTTCAGAAACATTGCAAAATTAAAGAATGTTAGAGTGATGTTGGACTGAAAATAAGCGGTTTCCAGCTGTACAGGTTAAAGTTAATGATAGACTAAGATTAAGATTAGGATTAAAGATGTTTAAAGAAATAGAAATTTGACAATTAAGAGGAAAATTTTTAATGTTATATTATACTAAGATTAAAGATTAGGTTTAAAGAAGTTGTAGTTATATATTAAAATATTATATTAAAGTTAAATATTTGGGTTTAAAAAGTTGAAAAGAAATTGCTGGACAAACAATTTGGATTGGAATACAAAAGAAGGAAGTATGAGGAAGTCCAGAAAATAAGTAAACTAAAAAAAACGGAAATGGAAAAGAGATATTGTTTTTAATTGTTATGTTTTTTGTTTTTTATTGATGAATTGTGGTTTTTTTGTGCGTTTTTGTTATTATTTTTTTGAGATATGTATTGTGTATGTTTTTCTTTTCTTTTTTTGTTGTTTAAAACTTTAATAAAAATTATTTATATAAAAAAAAGCAAAGTAATTTATGTAATAATAGTAAATCAACTAATATATTATAATAGATTTAAGGTAATATTAGCTGGGGGGAGGGGCTGTTGATTGGCTGAGAGTTTGGAAGTGTGTTTAAGTAAGTACAACTTAACAGTCAGGCCTTTGGCCAATTAAATGTTATCCTTTGAAGTCTCTTTGTGGGAGGAGAATATTGGTATGTTTCATTTTTGTTTTTATTATGTACCGTATTTTTCGCTCCATAAGGCGCACCTAGTTTTTAGAGGAGGAAAACACGAAAAAAAATATTTTGAATCAAATGTTGTACTAAACTATTTAAAGTAGCAAAGCGGGCGGCTCCTGTCCGCTTTGCTGCTTTAAAGCGAGCCTCAGAGGAGGGAAGGAAGGGGAACCATGGCTTATCTAAGTCCAGTTAATAATGCTGAGCCTGACTTTATATGAATCTCAAAGCCCTTGACATATATACATTATAATGACAAGCTGAGATAGGCCTCCTGCAGAGGAGCAGGGGAGGGAGCCATCATAGCTCAATGGGGAGAGCATGGAGAAGATCCCAAGTTCAGTCCTTGAAAGCTTCTCCGGGTAGGGCTGAGGGTGGGTCTCCTGAAACCCAGGTGAGCCTCTGCCCATCAGTGAAGACAAAACTGAGCTCAGTGGGCTCAGGGGTCCTGATGTGGTACTCTGTTCCTGTTTAAATTAGCCTTTTCTTCAGAACCATGAGGACTACAATCTTAGTTTTTTTTTAAAAGGGAACAGCTGTAACCTCAGTGGCTTTGCATGCAGAACACCACACGTTCAATCCCCGGCTTCTCCAGGCCTGAAACTCTGGCAAACTTCTGCCAGTCAGTGTTGCCATTACTAAGCTAGATGGAGTAGTGGGTCTGACTCCTTATAAGGCAGCTTCCTAGGTTCCCATTTTTGCTTCAGATCTGAGTGTGAGGCTTGCTGTCATGTTTAGTGTGGCAAGGGTGGTTCTTTGCACATCTGGAAGATGACTGTGTCACCTCCCACCACCCTCTTGAAGGTGCTTTTACAGCTCAGGGAAAAGGGCAGGCAGCCACAGCATCTGTAGACTGTAGCATCCTGAATTAAGGGAGGGAGGGATTCCCCTTGCAGCCAAAGGATTGTTGGAGGCCACCATGAAAGAGCTGATCTTCAGCTTGAAACCAGGACTTGCTCTTTCACTATGCTGCTCCTCCAGCTGCCAATGCCATCCATGTGTGTGCATGTTTTCGTCTTTAAATAAACAGCCCATGCAAGTTTCCAGCTCTTATGGCCATCAAGATTAGCCTGGCCGTCTCAGTGGAAATCTGGGGAGGCTGAGGTGGACTTTCCAGTGGTCAAAGTGTGGTTGTGTCTTCCTGCCCAGCATCTATTTCCTGCCCTCTTCCCCCGCACCCTGCTTCGAAGTAAGCCACGGAGGAGGGAAGGAAGCGGAGCCATGGATCCTCTGCTCGCAACTGCAGCAGATTCCCTCCGCTTTGAAGCAGGAAAGTGGGAGAGGAGCTTCAAAGGGAGCCCGGGAGGAGGGAATCTGCTGCAGCCACTTCCCTCCTCCGTGGTTGCTTTGAAGCAGGAAAGTTGGAGAGGAGCCGCTTACACCTGCTTACACGCTTACGGGTGTAAGCAGCTCCCTTCCCATTTTGCCAGAAAACAGGGAATTGTGGTTACGTCCTCAACAGAAGCTGAGTACTGTGCATTAGCAGAACTATGTAACAAAATGAAATATTATGTACAGATCCTCAATGACTTAGGTGTGAAATGTAATTATCCAGTACAAGTGGGGGAGGATAATTAAGCAGTAATCTCATTGGTGGGTTCTGAGCAGTTTAAAGGCAAAACAAAACATATTGAAATTAAATATCAGAATGTAAAATAAAATGTGAAAGAAAACCTGATAATGTTGAAGTATTGTGCAAGTAAGCAAAACACTGCAGACATTTTTTACAAAACCTGTCCGTTTGAAAAACATGCAGAACTGGTCACAATGCTGGGAATTGTATTACATGATATGTGAATATGTTTGTATATGTTTCATAATCCTGTATCTGTTTCTGTTCGAATGAGAAGGGGTGTTAGGAATACATTCTTTAAAGAAACAGATAAGGTTCCTTTAAGTTAAAAAAGCATTACAGCAGTTTCTTCAATGTGTGGGAGTGCCAGCTTAACTGGAGTCAGCTGGAGATGCAGTTAAAAGGAGAAGCTGTGAGTTTGCAATTTGAGGCAGGACTGTTTATCATAAGATTAAAAGTATACCATGCCAATGAAGGAGAAGAACTGTAAATAGTTTTGTAAATAGTAGCAACTAACATGTTTGTAGTACCTGAAAATGTTTGCATAAAGTAATTCTTCACTGTGCATCCGAGTGTGTCTGCAGTTCTGTCGTCTGCCGCCAGGGAAACTCTGCTAGAGCTTTGGGAAGCAGTTATAGTTGGTAACCTCTAATACCCTGTTTGATCATAATACACATTTTGAAATTCCATACATAAATCTCTATGTGATGAAGCTCCCAGATTTTGATAGAGCTCAACAGCACACCTTCGGCCCCAGGGATTCAAATCCCCCCACAGCACACTTTGCATGGATGTTTGTAAAGGCTGTTTGCTAAACACAATAAACCAAACGGACTCACTTTGCATGGAGGGCCATCTACTGATTTGTTGTGAATATGCTTCCTCCAGTTATGTCTTTTTAAACAAGGATCAGGCTGGTCTGAACTGCCCAGTCCTTTTTAAAATGTTGGCTTCAGAGTGGTTAGGGAAATGGAAGTAGCTTCTGGCAGATTTTTTTTATTTTGGCTATGTGTTTCTGGTTGACCCAAAAAGATGGCTGACCTAAGAGGTGGAGCAGATTTCATAATTGGGCCAAACAAAATCCATCCCAGAAAATAGGCTTTTCAAATCTAAGGTTGCCATAAAGATGTCCCTGAATGCCTGTCAATAAAGGCAATGAACCCTGAAGTAACACCCTCTGATCTAACTCCTCTCAGTTCTTCCTCTCACAAGCGTTAATGAGCATTTTTCAATAATTGGCGGCTTCATAGCTTTCTGACGCTCTGATTCATGTCTCATTTCATTGCAGCTGGTGATAAATTGGAAATTGAGAGCAAAGGAAACCATGAAAAAATCTACATGGAGAAGCCATATGAATATTCAGAGAGTGGAGAGAACTTCACTCAGAGCTCCCATTCTACTTCTGATAAAAGAAATCCCTTTGGGATGAAACCATTTAAGTGCTTGGAATGTGGAAAGAGCTTCACCCACAAGAAAAGTCTCACTTCCCACCAAATAATTAATAAAGGGCAGAAACTGTCCTTAAAATGCACAATGGGCTTTACTGCAAGAAAAGCACTTCTGTGACATCAAAGACTTCACAATGGGGAAAAACCATTTCAATGCCAAGAGTGCGGAAAGAGCTTCGCCTTGAAGCAAACACTCACTTCCCATCAAAGAATTCATATGACGGAGACACCCTAATAGTGCTTGAAATGTGGAAAAAACTTCACCTGGAATGAAAGTTTCACTTCCCATCAAATAACTTGCAGCCAGGAATGTAATAGAGTTATAAGATTGTAGTGTTGGAAGGGACGCTGAGGATCATCTAGTCCAATCCCTGGCAATGTTGTGATGTAGTGCCTGATCCTCAAGGTTGCCCAGTGATCTTCATGGCTGAGAAGGGATGCCAGATTTAAAATTATATTATGAGGCATCCTGTCTCTGCTGGCTAAAGGAATGGATAACATTGAAAAGTACAGATATTTTAGACCTGGAAGGTCACGATAATAGATTTGGAATAGATTTGGATTGCTTGCATATTTATGATATGAGAAGACCAAAGACATTTTATTTGTAAAATCTAATAAAAAATACTTATAAAAAAGAGAATGGATTTTAATACTACTACTAAGGTAAAGGTAAAGGACCCCATGACGGTTAAGTCAGGTGACTATGGGGTTGCGGCGCTCATCTTGCTTTCAGGCCGAGGGAGCCGACGTTTGTCCACAGATAGCCAGGATGACTAAACTGCTTCTGGGGCAATGGAACACCGTGGTGGAAACCAGAGTGTACGGAAATGCCATTTACCTTCCCGCCACAGTGGTACCTATTTATCTACTTGCACTGGCGTGCTTTCAAACTGCTAGGTTGGCAGGAGCAGGGACCGAGCAATGGGAGCTCACCCCATTGCGGGGATTTGAACCGCTGACCTTCTGATCAGCAATTGCAAGATGCTCAGTGGTTTAGACCACAGCGCCACCCGCCACCTACTACTACTAATAATAATTGTGTTTTTGTTGTTAAATTTATACCCCACCCATCTGGCTGGGTTTCCTGAGCCACTCTGGGAGCCTTACAGTACATATAAAAAATTATAAAACATCAAAAACTAAAAACTTCCTGATACAGGACTGCCTTCAGATTTCTTCTAAAAGTTGTGAGGTTCTTTATCTCCTTGACATCTGAAGGGAGGGTGTTCCACAGGGCAGGTGCCACTGCTGAGAAGACCCTCTGCCTGGTTCCCTATAACCTCACTTCTCGCAGGGAGGCAAGCAGCAGAAGTCCTTTGGAGCTGGACCTCAGTGTCTGGGCTGGACGATGGGGGTGGAGACGCCGTTTAGGGCTTTAAAGGTCAGCACCAACATTTTGAATTGTGCTCGGGAACATACTGAGAGCCAATGAAGATCATTTAGGACCAGTGTTATATGGCCCCAATGCCCACTCCCAGTCCCCAGTCCAGCTGCTGCATTCTGGATTAGTTGTAGTTTCCGGGTCACCTTCAAAGGTAGCCCCATGTAGAGTGCATGGCAGTAGTCCAAGCAGGAGGTAACTAGAGCATGCACCTCTCTGGCGAGACAGCCTGTGGGCAGGGAGGGTCTCAGCCTGTGTACCAGATGGAGCTGGTAGACAGCTGCCCTGGACACGGTGTTGACCAGCATCATCCAGGTCTTGCCCTCAATGAGACTCTGGGAAGTTGTGCCTGCATTTGTGTCTGCTTAAAATTTGACCACCTTCCCGCTGGTCAACATCTTTCTTAAATTGTTTTGCCCAGAATTGGACACAATCTTCCAGGTGTGGTCTGACCAAGTCATAATGGCGCAGTACTATTTCTTCCCTTGATCTGGACACTGGACCTCTGTGGACGCTGCCCAGAATAGCATTCGCTTCTTCTCAGCTGCATCACACTGTGAACTCAGGTGGAGCTTGTGGCCCACCAAGACCCCTCGATCTTTTTCACATGCACTGCTATGTCCCCCATCCTATATTTGTGCATCTGGTTCTTCCTGCCTAAGTGCAGAATCTGACCTTTGTCCCTATGGAAATTCATTTTGCTTGCTTGCCCCCAGTTCTCCAATCTGTAAATGGTAATCTTGATTCCCGATTCTGTCCTTTGTGCCTTCCCTCCCAGTTTGGTGTCATCTGCAAACTGGACGAGCATCCCCTCATTTCCTCCATCCAAGATTGACAGATGGAGCAAAACAGGCCCCGGACAGAGCCCTGCAGCCCCCCTGGTCACAACTCTATGGCGTAACCTCATGGGGGGTGCAGTGAGGAGTTGGAAAAAGGGTCAGAAAAGGGCTGCCAAAATGATCAAGGCGGACTTTGCTATGAAGAAAGGTTGCAGCCTTTGGGGCTCTTTAGTTTAGACTTTAGAGCAGTGGTTCCCAATTAGCTAATTACTGACACACACCCCTCCCCCCCAATTTTCAAAAGCCAAGCCTGGCCTAGAGAAAGTGGAGGGAGAGTTGCAGCTCCTGACAGTGGAACTCAAAGACATCAAAGGAATCCGTATGTTGGAAGATTCAGGACAGGTAAAATTAAGCTCTTCTTCACGCAAGGCAGAGTTCACCTGTGGAACTCCCCGGCACAGGACACCTGTTAACGGAAAATCTGAGGGCTCCCTTGGACAAAAACAAAGACACCAACCAGAGCAATTGGAAGCAAATCAGCAGCCAGTAGGCTTGGTCTTTATTGAAGACTGTTGCAACAGGGTGTTCCCCTCACTTGCAGGAGAGAGGAAAGACCCAGAAAGATGGTGTGCAAGACCTTATAAAAACTTTGAAATTCCCATCCTCTAGGTCAAGCCCACCCCCAGAAACATCATGCATACATTACAGAAAGGAGGGGTTGACATCATGCATACATTACAGAAAGGAGGGGTTGAGGGAGGAGTTGTGGTGGTAACCTGAGTGTCCTGTCACCTGGCTGGTTCCTCCTTCCCCCCCCCCCCATGAGTCACTTCCAGGAGACAAAGGGGAGTTGGCAGTTTCCTGCCCCCAGAGGGAAGATCTGATCATTGTCCTTTGTTTCAGTCCATGCTGAATCCACTCCCATATGCAAGTTCTTTGTGATCTTGATGGTCTTCTGTCTAGGACCATCAGGGTCGGCATAGCAACTGGGCAGGGCTCCGGTGGATGTGCTAGGATGGTGAAGGGATTATGGCTGACCAGAACCAAGCCACCCCCCTTTGATAGTCCTTGTCATATGGAGTAAAATAAAAATGGAACAGTGCAAATCCAATGTATGGTTGATTTTTCTATGAATTTATAACAGAAGTGTGGCATATGTAGTGTGTGAGTGTGTGAAGTTTGTACAAACTGAATGATTGGGGTGGGGGGGTTCCTGCTACACACCAGAGGGAGAAGGAGGGGGAAGCTGGGGGCGATGGCTTGCCAAGGGTTAAAGGAGATTGAGTGGGATTCCTAGAGAGGAGAGGAAGTCAAGGGGGGGTTGGGGGCCGGGAACTCCCCCAGAGGAGGAGGGGCCTTTGTCTCTCTCTTCTGCACGTGCTGCATCCGTGGCGCCTCCGGGGAGCCGGTGAGTCTTTGCTCTTCTTGCAAAGGGTGCAGTGGGGAGAAGAGGGGTCCCTGGGATGCAGGGGGGGTCCAGTTGCTGGAAGGAAGCGCAGGGGGAGAGAGGGGCTCTTGCGCCCCAGTCCTGCTGGTGTTCCGATATTTGGGGTACCAAATGTGAGCCCCTTGAATTGGGCCAGGAAAACTGGCCACCCAAGCAGCTGTTTGAGAGGGGAATTAGATGTGTTCTCAAGGTTGTGGGGCTTCAGTGAGGAGGGGGGGCCCCATGGATGCCCCATGGAGAAAAGGGGGAGAGAGAAAGACAAGGAGTCAAGAGAGGGAGCCCGGCCACTTTTGCATTTGGGCAGCTCCGCCTAGAGGGCACTGCCATGGCCTCGTGGGGTCCAGAGCGTGGAGGACCCTGGCCTCGTCCTCTCTCTCTCAGCTGGAAAGGGATACTGCTAGTCACTGAGGCCACCGGAGCCCCCAGTGAGTGTGTTGGATCCAGGAGAAGCCCCAAACATGCTGGCTGGGGGGAGGTCAAGCTACGTCACAGTATTTTTATTTTTATGATTAATCATTACCTGCCTTTCTCCTTAAGGTCCCAGAGTAGCTGCCAACATTAAAACACAAGATTAAAACTCAAGATTGCACTTGCTTCTTAGTGCTGTCCCACATGAACTTTGGCCTCATGCATGTGGCCCTCAAGGGCTTGGCCAGATCAGGATCTGACCCTCAGAACAGAGAAAAAGGGATCCCACCCCAGCAGTGTGTCTGGAGGACGTTGGAGATGCACAGTGCTAGAAAATGAGACAGAAACAGAAAAGGAGAGTGCCCTGAAATGGGGGTGGGAGGGAGAGCAACTCTTGAGGAGCCCCACTCTGGCCTAGTGCCCACATTACACTCGGAACCAAGGAATCATTGTTCTGACTTCATTCCTGGGCTGAAAACACTGAGAGGCAGGAGCCACCAGGTTGATTCATCTCACAAAAACACCTTCATTTGCCTCCACTTTTGGGCTGGTGACTTTCCCCCTAGGAGGGCGAGAGGATTTCTTCTTCTCCTTCCTTCTTCCTTTCCTTCTTAAACAAAGCTCAGAGTCTGGCCTGTGATGTACTCATACTCTGGTTCCTAGCAAGACTCATCCACACTTGCTCAAAGAACCTTTCTATTCTCCTGACAGCGGGTCAATTTTATAACAGAACAATATATTTCCTTTGCAGTATTTGGCAGCACCTCTAAATCAGACAGTCAGAACTTGGTCAAATAAAAACTGGATTCCTTCCTAAAGATGGATGAACAAGACTCAGCTGGCCCTGAAGCAGGAAGAGGCCCGGTCATGGAAACGGGAAGCAGTGCAGGATTCTGGGAAGGCTCTGTGCAGAAGATCCTGGGAGAGGAGGACACCCTTCGCTCAGAGATGCAGAGCCAGCTGTTGAGGCAGTTCTGCTCCCAGGAGGCCAAAGGACCCCGAGAGGTTTGCCGCCGGTTCCTCCACCTTTGCCACCAGTGGCTGAAGCCAGAAAGGCACACGAAAGCTGAGATGCTGGACCTGGTGATCTTGGAGCAGTTCCTGGCTGTCCTTCCAGCGGAGATGGAGAGCTGGGTGAGGGAATGCGGAGCAGAGACCAGTTCCCAGGCGGTGGCCCTGGCTGAAGGCTTCCTCCTGAGTCAGGCAGAGGAGAGGAAGCAGGTGGAGAAGCAGGTGAGAGAGACTTTCCTCCGGATGCTCCCAAGGGGCTCCAAGGAGGGAGAAGATCCCTAAATCCCATCCTTTTTTTGGAATGACTTTGGACACCCCTCAAGTTTTTGCCCCAGCCATTCCTTTTTTAACCATTCTCCACATTCTCTATTACAAATTCTTGTTGCTCTTTCAGGAAAGGGGTCTGTTGGCAGAAACGGGACCAGATTCCTCTGAGGCAGAGAGGACTCCGTTGGACACCAGAGAGAGGCCGCTGGGTAAGGAGGAAGGACTTTCTTCTCAGTTGGGTCACATTCTGGAGATTCTCAAACTAATCTGCGGGTTCATTCAATATTTTGGGGAAGACACTTGGGGCCAAGAACCCAAAGGAGAGAGGTACCTACTTTAACATAACTAAAATATGAAATGGGGACAAACTCCCAAATGCACCTCTGAGAGAAGCATCCTGCACTCCTGTCTCCCCACTTCCCTTTGTCTCTCGCAGGTGAAAGAAGGATGCCGGCAAGACCTCCTCCTCCATCTCTTCGTCCTGGTGGAGGGGAAGCAGCGGCTGAGGAACCGGATCAGGTACAATAATAATATATTTTTTTTATACCCCGCCCATCTGGCTGGGCTTCCCCAGCCACTCTGGGCAGCTTCCAAAAAATATTAAAATACTGTAATACGTCAAACATTAAAAGCTTCCCTGAACAGGGCTGCCTTCAGATGTCTTCTAAAAGTCTGGTAGCTATTTTTCTCTTTGACATCTGGTGGGAGGGTGTTCCACTACCGAGAAGGCCCTCTGCCTGGTTCCCTGTAACTTGGCTTCTCGCAGGGAGGGAACCGCCAGAAGGCCCTTGGCACTGGACTTCATTGTCCGGGTAGAATGATGGGGGTGGAGATGCTCCTTCAGGTCTGCTGGGCCTTTGAGGCCGTTTAGGGCTTTCAAGGTCAGCACCAACACTTTGAATTGTGCTCGGAAACGTACTGGGAGCCAGTGTAGGTCTTTCAAGACCGGCGGCCGCTCCCAGTCACCAGTCTAGTTGCCGCGTTCTGGATTAGTTGTAGTTTCCAGGTCACCTTCAAAGGTAGCCCCACGTAGGGGGAAGGAGCCTTGGGGGGAAAGAGGCTGAGGGGGGAGGGGGAGAGGGCATTTCTGAGACAGAACAAATCTCTCCCCTCCTCATTGCTTCTGTCAAAGCTGCCCTTAACAAAGGCTGAAAATGCCATTAATGAAGGTTTATGCACTGAGGATAAAGAGTAACCCCTTCACCTTAACTCTAAATGTCACTAGTATTATTCATTATAAATTGTTTTTAGGACATCTGGATAGTCTTTTCATTCCAGAACAAAACTTAGGTGAGAGGAGAGAGGGATTCTTCCATTTGGCAAACTGGAATTCTTGCCCAGAGACAATGATCTGACAATGATCTGAATAAAACAACGTGGAGTTCATTAAAATAAGCACCAATAATCCAAATGTGCAGCAGACCAATCCAATTAGAACAATCCAGGCAGGAAGCAAAAGAGCAACGTGCAGGAAATGATTTTTATGCTGCCTAAGAGAAGGATATTTTTCTTTCAGAGCTCAGTTTCTTTTGAAGATGTCGCTGTTCGTTTCACGGCTGAGGAGTGGGCGTTGCTGGATCCTGCCCAGAGAGCTCTGCATAAGGAAGTCATGGAGGAGACTTGTAGGACCATGATCTCTCTGGGTAAAGTTCCCTCTTGTGTCATAATATCTGTTTTGTAATTCAGTAGATATTTCACCGTGACAAAACTCCCATATTTGGATGGATCCCAACGTTGCCACCTAGAGCACCTGGGATTCTCACCCCCACAGCTCACCTTGCATGGAGGGCTGGGGACTGTTTTTTCTGTGGATATTGTTCCTCTGCTTCTCTCTTTTTGCACAAGGATCAGGATGTGGATAGGCTTTCCGATTGTTTTGAACCAATCAGTTGTTCCATATCCAGTTCTAACTGTAGCTTCTGGCTTAGGAACAGCTTTCTTTCTTCCTTCCTTCCTTCCTTCCTTCCTTCCTTCCTTTCTTTCTTTCTTCCCTTTTTACATTTGTAAAGCTGTGCACTTTTCTTCATCTACTGCTGTCTCAGGTTTTCCCCCCCCAACAGATTCTGTCCATTCTCTCACCTGCAGTCTCTCTCAAACCTCTCCAGCCATTCTGCACCTTTCATCGCTTAACTGTTGGTTATGGCATATCCAAAATCAAAAGGCATCCCGTGTTATTTTTACTATGATTTACTAATTATGATTTATTAGTTTTTCTCCCTTGACCGTCTCCGCTTCTCTGCACTTATAAAAAGTTCCCGTCAGTTTTCAGTCCGTTCCGCATAGGAAAAACCGAGAAAGGAGATTTACCAACAGTGAACCTTTGAAGTTAAAGGCAAAGTCTCAGAACAATATATTCATTTTAATATTTTGAAATCACCAGTACTTAGTTTTGAGCTTTTTTGATATATTTTCCAGACCCGTTTAGAATTCTGTCATTACCCAGCAGTTTAATTCTCCCCTGGACGCTAAGTAATTGGTAGACAGAGAATCCAATTCATATTCAAAGATATCTCTGACCTTGCAGATGGAGTTGGTTCAATGATTGAGCCAAAGAAATTTCATTCCTGAAATGAACAGGCTTTTTGAATCTGTATTTCCCATAAATATGTCAGTGAATGTCAGTCAGCAAAGGCAGTGAACTCTGCAGTAAGACCTCCCATCTAACTCCCTTCAGATCTTCCTTTATCACAAATGTTCATTAGCATTATTCAAAAACTGGGAACTCCATTTCTTTCTTAGGCTCTGACCTGTTCCTCTCTTCGTTGCAGTTGGTGATGAAATTGAAATTAAGAAAAAGGGGCAACAGGACAAAACCCACACAGTGGAGAAGCCATATCAAGATTTGGAGTGTGGGGAGAACTTCAGTCAGGGCTCCCATGCCACTTCCCATCAAATAAATCCTATTGGGAAGAAACCCTTTCAGTGCTTGCAATGTGGAAAGAGCTTCAATCACAGCTCACATTTCAAAGACCATCAAAGAATTCATTCTGGGGAGAAACCATATAAGTGCTTGAAGTGTGGGAAGTCTTTTCCTACAAGCAAATGCTTCCATCGACATCAGAGTATTCACAGCGGAGAGAAACCGTACCAGTGCATGGAATGTGGGAAGAGCTTCTCCAGGAAGGACAGTCTTATTTCCCATCAAAGAATTCATTCCGGGGAGAAACCATTTCAGTGCTTGGAATGCACAAAGTGCTTTACTACACAAAATTTATTTCATCAACATCAGAGAATTCACACTGGGGAGAAACCATTTCAATGCCAAGAGTGTGGAAAGAGCTTCAGATGGAGAGCCCATTTCACTTCCCACCAAAGAATTCATACAGGGGAGAAGCCGTATCAGTGCCTGGAATGTGAGAAGTTCTTTACTACAAGAAGAGACTTGCAACAACATCAGAGAATTCACAGTGGGGAGAAACCATATCAGTGCTTAGAGTGTGGGAAGAGCTTCAGGCGGAACGACCATCTCACTTCCCATCAAATAATTCATACAGGGGAGAAACCATTTCAGTGTCTGGAATGTGGGAAGAACTTCAATCGGAGGTCATGTCTCACTTCCCATCAAAGAATTCATACAGGGGAGAAACCATATAAGTGCTTGGAATGTGGGGAGTCTTTTCCTACAAGCAAATACTTCCGTCGACATCAGAGTATTCACAGCGGAGAGAAACCGTACCAGTGTGTGGAATGTGGGAAGAGCTTCTTCAGGAGGGACAGTCTCACTTCTCACCTCAGAATTCATACAGGGGAGAAGCCGTATCAGTGCTTGGAATGTGAGAAGTGCTTTACTACAAGAAGAGACTTGCATCAACACAAGAGAATTCACACTGGGGAGAAACCATATCAGTGCTTAGAGTGTGGGAAGAGCTTCAGTCAGAGGGCCAATCTCCGTTCCCATCAAAGGATTCATACGGGGGAGAAACCATATCGGTGCGTGGAATGTGGGAAGAGCTTCAGTCGGAGCTCAAGTCTCACTTCCCATCAAAGAATTCACAGTGGGGAGAAACCATATCAGTGCTTGCAATGCAAGAAGAGGTTTACTACAAGCACACACTTCCGTCGACATCAGAAAATTCACACTGGGGAGAAACCATTTCAATGCCAAGAGTGTGGAAAGAGCTTCAGTCGCAGGCCTCATCTCACTTTCCACCAAAGAATTCATACAACGGAGAATCCCGAATAGTGCTTGGAATGTGGAAAGCGATTCACCTGGAATAAATATTTCACGTCCCATGAAGCATCTGGTGGGGCTGGGGCCATTTCATCCATCTCAAGGCCTCCACCTGCACTCTCAAAGCATCCCCACCCACCCAGTTTGCATATGACTAGAGGTGGGCATGACCTCACCTGCCCAGGTAACATAGAGCAGGACTGGTCAGCCACCTCTCTCTCTCTCTGACTACTTTCATCGAAGAAGCAACATCTGTTTAGCCTAAGATGCCTTCTTGGCTTGCAGCCAAGAGAGGACAAAGGAACTGTCTCCTTATGGGACAGTTTCCAGGTGTGCATTACTTTTCTAAGCTAAGTCTGCCTTCTGGGATCCAATTGTGAACAGAATGTGAGTGAGTAAATTCTTATTATACTTTTACAGAAGACTGTGTTGTGTCTTATCTTTTATGAGGGACTAAAGGGGACATTACAAATAAAACTTATTATAGAGGCTTTAGCGAGCCTGAGCAAACGCATCTGTTGTGAGTTTAAAAAGGGGAATGTTACTCTGCTAAATTGTGGAACTTGTTAACACAAGTTGGAAAGGATATAATCAAACAATATATCCTCTCCTGCATCCCTGAACATTCCCACACTAACTACCGGCCGGTTGCTCATCTCCCTTTCCTGGGCAAGGTTCTGGAGCGGGTGGTTGTGGACCAGATCCAGGGGCTCTTGGAGGAAACTGATTTTCTACATCCATTTCAATCAGGGTTTAGGTCCAGTTTTGGCACAGAAACTGCTTTGGTGGCCCTGAATGATGACTTCTCTCAAGAGAGAGAGAGACAGGGGAACATGTCCCTGTTAATTCCCCTCAACCTCTCACCGGCTTTTGATACTACTGACCATTGTCTCCTTCTGGAGCAGCTGTCCGAACTGGTCCTACTTGGATCGTCATTCCCAGAGGGGATGCTTGGGAAATGCCTTTCAGACCTTGGCCCCTAGGAGTTGGCTGCTGTGCAGGAGGCGGCGATAGCCATCAACTTGGATGGATTTCAAAGAGGATGAGAGGCATTCATGGAGGGGAGGGATATGGATGGCCCCTTCTAGCCAGGCTGGTTCTGCTCTGCCTTCCCAGCTGGAGGCAGCCATGCTTCTGAACCTCTGTTGCTGGAAACCCCAGGAGAGGAGAAGAGGGCTCTTGTCTTGGGACCTCTCTTGTGGGTTTGCCATAATGGGCATCTGGTTGGCCACTGTGAGGACAGGAGGGGGGCCTGTGGGGCGGATCCAGCGGCTGCGGGACTCTTCCGATGTTCTCCTCAGATGTCAGCTACATTGGAGTTTAGTGCGGGTCTCTTGCCTCAAGATAAATATAAAGGAAGGAGGCGCGGTGTGTCTGAATGGAGAGAACTTCTCCCCGCTTCTCTCCTCATCCTAGACGGTGCGGGGAGGGTCATAAATCGCAGGGCACTCAAAGGGACCCCAAGATGTGGGAGGTGACCCCGAGGGCTGAAGCCGGGGCTGGGCTGGCTCCCTCCGCCATCCGTCCACTTGGCACACACATGCGCGTCTGCTGGCCAGAGCCGCTTCTTTTCTGGCGAAGCCTCCCTCTCCGCACAAACCCATTTTCATGTCTCCGGGGGGGGGGGCGCTCTTCCCGCATCCTCCTCCAGTTGCCTTTCCGTCCAGCCAGGCTCCGAGCGGCTCTCTTGATGCTGATGCTGCTGCCGCCGCGCCCACCTCGAAGCTGGACCAGCCGCTCCGGCAATAATGGATACTTTGGTTTAGAGAGAGATTTGTGGATATATTTCTCGCCGATTTTGCGCCCCCCCCGGCAGGGGCCCACCTCGCCGCCCCCCGGCTCCGGCCCGCGCTGCGCAGGCCCCTGGCTCGCCATCCCGCCTCGCCTTTCCCTCCGCCGGCGCGCCTTGGCCCGCGAATGGAGGGGGGAGGGAAGAGGGGGTCCCGGTCCGTGGGGAAGAGGGGGGCGAAATAAAGGCAGGCGGGAGGGGCCTTCCTGGGAGGAAGCCGGCGGGAGGGGCGGCGGAGCCCGAGGGGAAGCAGCGCGGAGCCGGACGCACCAGAACCCCCGCCTCCTCCCCCCCCCCCCCGCCAGCGGCATCACACTGTGAACTCAGGTCTCCCTGAGCTTTCCGGGCGTCCTCCCAGTAAGCACAACTCTGGAATGGCACGTCCCCTCATTCCAGTGTGCCCTTCAGCAACATAAACCAGCTTGATTTATGCACACTAATCTTCTGTCATTGCACAGCAAGAAGAATGAGCCATCCGTAGATCTAAACTACGTATTCATTTACACTGTATTACACTGGACTTCTTTGGATGCAGCCTAGAATAGCATTTTCTTTTTCTCAGCTGCATCGCACTGTGAACTCAGGTGGAGCTTGTGGTCCACCAAGACCCCTCGATCTTTTTCACATGCACTGCTATGTCCCCCATCCTATATTTGTGCATCTGGTTCTTCCTGCCTAAGTGCAGAACCTGACCTTTGTCCCTATGGAAATTCATTTTGTCAGCTTGCCCCCAGTTCTCCAATCTGTAAATGGTAATCCTGAATCCCGATTCTGTCTTCTGTGCCATTAGCTGCCCCTCCCAGTTTGGTGTCATCTGCAAACTGGACGAGCATCCCCTCAATTCCTCCATCCAAGATCGACAGATGGAGCAAAACAGGCCCCGGACAGAGCCCTGCAGCCCCCCTGGTCACAACTCTATGGCGCAACCTCATGGGGGTGCAGTGAGGAGTTGGAGAAGGTTCAGAAAAGGGCTGCCAAAATGATCAAGGCGGACTTTGTTATGAAGAAAGGTTGCAGCCTTTGGGGCTCTTCCCAATTAGCTAATTACTGAGCCCCCCCCCCGCCATTTTCAAAAGCCAAGCCTGGCTTAGAGAAAGTGGATGGAGAGTTGCATCTCCTGACAGTGGAACTCAAAGACATCCAAGGAATCAGTATGTTGGAAGATTCAGGACAGGTAAAATTAAGCTCTTCTTCACGCAAAGCAGAGTTCACCTGTGGAACTCCCCGGCACAGGACACCAGAGAGAGGGGGAGCTGGCTTGCCAAGGGTTAAGGGGGATTGATCTGGATTCCTAGAGAGGAGAGGAAGTCAAGGGGGGGGGTTGGGGGGAGAAACTCCCGAGCCCAAGCCCCTCCCTCTCCCGCCTGCCTCCAAGGGAGGAGGGGCCTTTGTCTCTCTCTTCTGCACGTGCTGCATCCCTGGCGCCTCCGGGGAGCCGGTGAGTCTTTGCTCTTCTTGCAAAGGGTGCAATGGGGAGAAGAGGGGGGTCCCCGGGATGCGGGGGGGGGGTCCAGTTGCTGGAAGGAAGCGCAGGGAGGGAGAGGGGCTCTTGCGCCCCAGTCCTGCAGATGTTCTGATATTTGGGGTACCAAATGTGAGCCCCTTGAATTGGGCAAGGAAAACTAGGTTGTGGGGCTTCAGTGAGGGGGGGGCATGGATGCCCCCTGGAGCTCCTTGGAGAAAAGGGGGAGAGAGAAAGACAAGGAGTCAAGAGAGGGAGCCCGGCCACTTTTGCATTTGGGCAGCTCCACCTAGAGGGCACTGCCATGGCCTCGTGGGGTCCAGAGCGTGGAGGACCCTGGCCTCGTCCTCTCTCTCTGAGCTGGAAAGGGATCCTGCTAGTCACTGAGGCCACCGGAGCCCCCAGTGAGTGTGTGGGATCCAGGAGAAGCCCCAGACATGCTGGCTGAGGGGGGGGGGGGGCTAAGCTACAACACAGTATTTTTATTTTTATTCATTATCCACTCTTCACCGTAAGCAACCAGAGCAGCCGATAACTTTAAAACACAATAATAACTTTGGCCTCGCCCATTTGGCCCTCAGGGGCTTGGCCAGATCAGGATTTGGCCCTCAGAGCAGAGAAAACGGGATCCCACCCCATCAGTCTGTCTGGAGATGTGGAGATGCAAAGTGCTGATTTCATTCTGGGCATGTTTAGCCTGGAGAAGAGGAGGTTAAGGGGTGATTTGATAGCCATGTTCAAATATATAAAAGGATGTCACATAGAGGAGGGAGAAAGGTTGTTTTCTGCTGCTCCAGAGAACACGGAGCAATGGATCCAAACTACAAGAAAGAAGATTCCACCTAAACATTAGGAAGAACTTCCTGACAGTAAGAGCTGTTCGACAGTGGAATTTGCTGCCAAGGAGTGTGGTGGAGTCTCCTTCTTTGGAGGTCTTTAAGCAGAGGCTTGACAACCATATGTCAGGAGTGCTCTGATGGTGTTTCCTGCTTGGCAGGGGGTTGGACTCGATGGCCCTTGTGGTCTCTTCCAACTCTAGGATTCTATGATTCCTGGACTGAAAGCACTGAAAGGCAGGAGCCACCAGGCTGATTCATCTCACAGAAACCGCTTCCATTGCCTCCACTTTTGGCCTGGTTACTTTCCCCCTAGGAGGGCGAGAGGATTTCTTCTTCTCCTTCCTCCTTCCTTTTTTTCTTACAGAAAGCTCAGAGTCTGGCCTGTGGTGCAGTCCAGCCCTGGTTCCTAGCAAGACTCATCCACACTTGCTCAGGGGACCTTTTTCTTCTGCTGACCGTGTGCCAATTTCATAACAGAACAATATATTTCCTTTGCAGTATTTGCTAGCACCTCTATTTGAGACAGACAGAACTTGGTCAAAGAAAAGATGGATTCCTTCCTAAAGATGGATGAACAAGACTCAGCTGGCCCTGGAGCAGGAAGAGGCCATGCTATGGAAACTGGGAGCAGTGGGGGATTCTGGGAAAGCTCTGGGCAGAAGATCCTGGGAGAAGAGGACACCCTTCGCTCAGAGGTGCAGAGCCAGCAGTTGAGGCAGTCCTGTCACCAGGAGGCTGAAGGACCCCGTGAGGTTTGCAGCCAACTCTACCGCTTTGACCATCAATGGCTGAAGCCAGAAAGGCACACGAAAGCTGAGATGCTGGACCTGGTGATCTTGGAGCAGTTCCTGGCTGTTCTTCCAGCGGAGATGGAGAGCTGGGTGAGGGAATGCGGAGCAGAGACCAGTTCCCAGGCGGTGGCCCTGGCCGAAGGTTTCCTCCTGAGTCAGGCGGAGGAGAGGAAGCAGGTGGAGAAGAAGCAGGTAAGGGCTCCACAGAGGGAGAAGATCCTAAAAAACTCTCCAAATTGCTCATCCTTTTTCCTTTTCTAACCCTTCTCCTCATTCTCTTTTTTGAATCCTTGTTTCTCTTTCAGGAAAAGGATCTGTCTGCAGAAATGGGTCCTGATTCCTTTGGGGCAGGGAGGACTCCATTGGACACCAGAGAGAGGCCGCTGGGTGAGGAGAAAGGAGTTTTTTCTTAGTTGGGTCACATCCTGGCGATTCTCAAACTCATCTGTGGGTTCTTTCAGTGTTTTGGGAAAGACACTTGGGGCCAAGAGCCCCAAGGAGAGAAGATGTATTTAAACAAAACTAAAATATGAAATGGGTACAAAGGCCAGAAAGTACCTCTGAGAGAAGCATCCTGCACTCCTGTCTCCCCACTTCCCTTTGTCTCTCGCAGGTGAAAGAAGGATGCCGGCAAGACCTCCTCCTCCATCTCTTCGTCCTGGTGGAGGGGAAGCAGCAGCTGAGGAACCGGATCAGGTGGGGGGAAGGAGCCATGGGGGGGGAGGATGAGGGGGGGAAGAGAGGGCGTTTCTGGGGACAAATGAATCCCCTCTTGCCTTCTGTCAAAGCTGCCCTTAACAAAGGCTGAAAATGCCATTAATGAAGGTTTTTGTGCTGAGGATAAAGAGTAACCCCTTCACCTTAACTCTGAATGTCACTAGTATTATTCATTATAAATTGTCTTTAAGACAACTAGAGAGACTTTCCATCCCAGAACAACACACAGGGAGAGGAGAGAGGGATACTTCCATTTGGCAAACTGGAATTCTTGCACAGAGACAATGATCTGAATAAAACAAGGTGGAGTTCCACCCATTTTCACTAAGAGTCATACCCATCATTAAAATACACGATGAAATAACCCCATTAAAGCATTAAAATAAGAACCAATAATCCAAATGTGCAGCAGACCAATCCAATTAGAACAACCCAGGCAGGAAGCAAAAGAGCAACGTGCAGGAAATAATCTTCATGCTGCCTAAGAGAAGGATATTTTTCTTTCAGAGCTCAGTTTCTTTTGAAGATGTCGCTGTTCGTTTCACGGCTGAGGAGTGGGCGTTGCTGGATCCTGCCCAGAGAGCTCTGCATAAGGAAGTCATGGAGGAGACTTGTAGGACCATGATCTCTCTTGGTAAAGTTCCCTCTTGGGTCATAATATCTGTTTTGTAATTCAGTAGATATTTCACCGTGACAAACCTCCCATATTTGGATGGATCCCAACGTTGCCACCTAGAGCATCTGGGATTCTCACACCCCACAGCTCACCTTGAATGGAGGGGACTGTTTTGTCTGTGAATATTGCTCCTCCGCTTCTGCCTTTTCCCACAGGGATCAGGATGTGGATAGGCTTTCTGAGTGTTCAGGGAAGTTGGTTCTGCCAGCTTTTGATTTTTGTGGATTTTTTGGTGGAGCAAAAAGTCTTTCTCCAAATTGATTTCCAATGGATGAGAGGCTTTTTCTGCCTCTGTTTAATTTACAGATCAGTCTTTGCTACCTCCAATCGTCCATAAATCTCTTCTGGCTTCGGAACAGTTTCTTTCTTTCTTTCTTTCTTTCTTTCTTTCTTTCTTTCTTTCTTTCTTTCTTCGCTCCATACAGTTGCAAAGCTGTGGACTTTTCTTCATCTACTGCTGTATCAAAAATCAAAATGCATTCATTGTTATCTTTTCTATGATTTACTAATTATGATTATTTAGTTCTCCTTCTTTGATCTTCTCTGCTTCTCTGCACTTATAAAAAGCTACCCTCGGTTTTCAGTCCGTTCTGCATAGGAAAAACAGAGATGGGACATTTACAAACAGTGTAGCTTAGAAGTTAATGAAGGCAAAGTTTCACAACTATATATTCATGTTAATATTTTGAAATCACCAGTAGTTAGTTTTGAGCTTTTTGATATGTTTTCAAGACACATTTAGAATTCTGTCATTACTCAGTATTTTATTTCTCCCCTGGACACTAGGTAATTGGTAGACAGAGAATCCAATTCATATTCAAATAGAGTTCTGACCTTGCAGATGGAGGTGGTTCCATGACTGAGCCAAAGAAATTTCATCCCAAACAAGAACAGGCTTTTTGAATCTGAATTTCCCATAAATATGACAGTGAATGTCAGTCAGCAAAGGCAGTGAACTCTCCAGTAAGACTTCCCATCTAACTCCCTTCAGATCTTCCTTGATCACAAATGTTCATTAGCATTATTCAAAAACTGGGAACTCCATTTCTTTCTTAGGCTCTGACCTGTTCCTCTCTTCGCTGCAGTTGGTGATGAATCAGAAATTAAGAACAAGGGACAGCAGGACAAAATCCACACAGTGGAGAAGCCATATCAAGATTTGGAACATGGAGAGAACTTCAGTCAGAGCTCCCATTCCACTTCCCATCAAAGAAATCCTATTGGGAAGAAACCCTTTCAGTGCCTGGAATGTGGAAAGAGCTTCAGTCGGAAGAATAGTCTTACTTCCCATCTAAATATTCATACAGGGGAGAAACCATATCAGTGCTTGGAATGCACAAAGTGCTTTGCTGCAAGAAAAAAGCTATGGCAACATAAGAGAATTCACACTGGGGAGAAACCATATCAGTGCCTGGAATGTGGAAAAAGCTTCAGTTGGAAGCATAGGCTTACTTCCCATCAAATAATTCATACAGGGGAGAAACCATTTCTGTGCTTGGATTGTGGGAAGAGCTTCAGGAAGAGGACCTATCTCACTTCCCATCAAAGAATTCATAGAGGGGAGAAACCATTTCAGTGTCTTGAATGTGAGAAGTTCTTTACTACAAGAAGAGACTTGCATCAACACAAGAGTATTCACAGTGGGGAGAAGCCATTTCTGTGCTTGGAATGTGGGAAGAGCTTCAGTCAAAAGGGAAGTCTCACTTCCCATCAAAGAATACATACAGGGGAGAAACCATTTCAGTGCCCAGAATGTGAGAAGTTCTTTAGTACAAGAAGAAACTTACATCAACATAAGAGAATTCACAGTGGGGAGAAACCATACCAGTGCTTGGAATGTGGGAAAAGCTTTAGGAAGTGGACCTATCTAACTTCCCATCAAATAATTCATACAGGGGAGAAACCATTTCAGTGTGTGGAATGCGAGAAGTTCTTTACTACAAGAAGAGACTTGCATCAACACAAAAGAATTCACACTGGAGAGAAACCATATCAGTGCTTAGAGTGTGGGAAGAGCTTCAGGCGGAGCTCATGTCTCACTTCCCATCAAAGAATTCATACAGGGGAGAAACCATATAAGTGCTTGGACTGTGGGGAGTCTTTTCCTACAAGCAAATACTTCCGTCGACATCAGAGTATTCACAGCGGAGAGAAACCATACCAGTGTGTGGAATGTGGGAAGACTTTCTTCAGGAAGGAGAGTCTCACTTCTCACCAAAGAATTCATACAGGGGAGAAACCATTTCAGTGCTTGGAGTGCAGGAAGTGCTTTACTACACGAAAAGGCTTCCATCGACATCAGAGAATTCATAAGGGAGAGAAACCATTTGAATGCCAAGAGTGTGGAAAGAGCTTTAGTGACAGGTCCCATCTTACTTCCCACCAAAGAATTCATACAGGGGAGAAACCATACCAGTGTGTGGAATGTGGAAAGAGCTTCTCCAGGACGGACAATCTTACTTCCCACCAAAAAATTCATACAGGGGAGAATCTATATCACTGCTTGGAGTGCACAAAGTGCTTTACTACACGATATGGGTTCCATCGACATCAGAGAATTCACACTGGGGAGAAACCATTTGAATGCCAAGAGTGTGGAAAGAGCTTCAGATGGAGCGCCCATTTCACTTCCCACCAAAGAATTCATACAGGGGAGAAGCCATATGAGTGCTTGGAATGTGGGAAGAGCTTCAGTCGGAAGGATCACCTTACTTCCCACCAAAGAATTCATACGACGGATAAACCCGAATAGTGCTTGGAATGCAGAAAGAGCTTCACCTTGAAGCAAACTCTCACTTCCCATGAAAAACTCACAGTGGGGAAAATCCTGGAGTTATAGAATAGTAGCTTTGGGAGGAATCTTGAGGGTCATCTTGTCTAACCAATGCAATGCATCTTGATGATTAATCAGAATCTCCTTTCTTGTTCTGTTCTTGTGGGGTTACATGGTTCTTCACCTCCTTTACAATCGTGAGAATAACCCTGTACAGAATAATCAGGTTCCTTGTCTGTTTAGATGTTTAGCTTGAATGAGACATAGTGAACCCCAGAGAGAGAACACAAATAAGCAATGAGACAACCAATGCGTATTGGAATTTCTATATAACATTGCTTTATTGATTAACAAACTTAACACATAACAAGACAAGGGAACATGCACTCAGACACACACGCAATCACACACACACACACACACACACACACACACACCTCTAGGTTGGCCAGACCTAGAGGGTGGCTGGCAGGCAGGCAGCTGGATCTCAACTGCGTCTGACACACACCTCAGTCCGAAAGAGACTAATCTTATATGCTCTTCTCATTGTGCATCTAAGTCTCATGTTCCTGAGTGACATGTTCCTGGCAGTTCTTAGCATGTTCTTGGAAGTCCTCCATCTTTAGCATGTTCTAGGCATATCACAACTCTTAATGTTTGTACCCGGTCTTCTGGCACGGTACAACACTCACTGTTTGGGGATAGCATTGCATGGCTTGGGCTTTATGCTTCATTGTAGGTACAGGACTTTTTGCCATAGAATCATAGAGCTGGAAGAGATCACAAGGGCCATCGAGTCCAACCCCCTGCCAAGCAGGAAACACCATCAGAGCACTCCTGACATATGACTGTCAAGCTTAAAGACCTCCAAAGAAGGAGACTCCACCACACTCCTTGGCAGCAAATTCCACTGTCGAACAGCTCTTACTGTCAGGAAGTTCTTCCTAATGTTTAGGTGGAATCTTCTTTCTTGTAGTTTGGATCCATTGCTCCGTGTCCGCTTCTCTGGAGCAGCAGAAAACAACCTTTCTCCCTCCTCTATGTGACATCCTTTTATATATTTGAACATGGCTATCATATCACCCCTTAACCTCCTCTTCTCCAGGCTAAACATGCCCAGCTCCCTTAGTCGTTCCTCATAAGGCATCGTTTCCAGGCCTTTGACCATTTTGGTTGCCCTCCTCTGGACACGTTCCAGTTTGTCAGTGTTCTTCTTGAACTGTGGTGCCCAGAACTGGACACAGTACTCCAGGTGAGGTCTGACCAGAGCAGAATACAGTGGCACTATTACTTCCCTTGATCTAGATGCTATACTCCTATTGATGCAGCCCAGAATTGCATTGGCTTTTTAGCTGCCGCGTCACACTGTTGGCTCATGTCAAGTTTGTGGTCAACCAAGACTCCTAGATCCTTTTCACATGTACTGCTCTCAAGCCAGGTGTCCCCCATCTTGTATTTGTGCCTCTCATTTTTTTTGCCCAAGTGCAATACTTTATATTTCTCCCTGTTAAAATTCATCTTGTTTGTTTTTGCCCAGTTCTCTAATCTGTCAAAGTCGTTTTGAAGTGTGATCCTGTCCTCTGGGGTGTTAGCCACCCCTCCCAGTTTGGTGTCATCTGCAAATTTGATCAGGATGCCCTTGAGTCCATCATCCAAGTCGTTGATAAAGATGTTGAATAAGACCGGGCCCAAGACAGAACCCTGTGGCACCCCACTAGTCACTCTTCTCCAGGATGAAGAGGAACCATTGATGAGCACCCTTTGGGTTCGGTCAGTCAGCCAGTTACAAATCCACTGAGTGGTAGCATAGTCAAGACCGCATTTTACCAGCTTCTTTACAAGAATATCATGGGGCACCTTGTCAAATGCCTTGCTGAAATCAAGGTAGGCTACATCCACTGCATTCCCTTCATCTACCAGGCTTGTAATTCTGTTAAAAACGAGATCAGGTTAGTCTGACATGACTTATTTTTCAGAAATCCATGCTGACTATTGGTGATCACAGCATTCCTTTCTAGGTGCTCACAGACTGTTTGCTTAATGATCTGCTCCAGAATCTTCCCTGGTATTGATGTCAGACTGACTGGGCGTAATTATTTGGGTCCTCTCTTTTCCCCTTTTTGAAAATAGGGACAACATTTGCCCTCCTCCAGTCTGCCGGGACTTCGCCTGTTCTCCAGGAATTCTCAAAGATGACTGCCAGTGGTTCTGAGATCACATCTGCCAGTTCTTTTAATACTCTTGGCTGCAGTTCATCTGGCCCTGGAGACTTGAATACATCTAAACTAGCCAAGTATTCTTGTACTATCTCCTTAGTTATTCTGGGCTGTGTTTCCTCTGCTGAATCATTTGCTCCAAATTCTTCAGGTCAAATCATTTGCTCCAAATTCTTCAGGTTGAGGTGTCACGTACTCAGGAAGACCCTAATCCGGTCAAATCGCTCTGCCAAGCCTTTCCTCTGGCCAATGCCAGGTGGCAGACTATACATAAGTGAACTTTGTCTTCTCATCACCGGTACTCAGGAAGTGCTTATCTGTGCATATCTCCAGCTCTGCATATTCCCCCTCCCTCCTCTATATGTTAATCCGGTGTAACCCAACCTCTCTAATGTATTCATGATGTAATCCGTGTAACCCAACCTCTCCTTAATGTATTCATGATGTAACTATGATGTATTTTGCACTGTATTCTGGGACATGGAGGGAAGTTTTAAAAGTTCATGTCACCCCTTTCCCGCTGTTCAGTCTCGCCTTGAACCTGTTGCTCAATAAACTTGGATCTTCTGCTGCTTGCTCCTGTCTCCGGCTGAGCTCATTTTCCTCCGCAGGGACCCGCGGACTTAGACCGACGAGCTGGGTGGCAGAGCAGCCTTGCACCCAGATTTTACCGTAACACTTGAAAGAGACAGACAGGGAAACACGTCCCTGTTAATTCTCCTCAACCTCTCAGTGGCTTTCAATACCATCAACCATTGTCTGAACTAGGGCTGGGTGGGACTGCTTTGCAGTGGATCTGGTCCTACTTGGATGGTTATTCCCAGAGGGGGATGCTTGGCAAATGCTTTTCAGCCCCATGGAGCCTTCCATGTGGGGTTCCACAGGGCTCGATCCTGTCCCCCATGTTGTTTAACATCTACGTGAAACCAAGGGTGGGGACATCTGGAGGTTTGGAGTACACGGTCAGCTCTATTTCTCCTTCACATCTGCAAGTGAGGCAGTGGAAGTGCTGGACCAGAGTCTTGCCTCAGTAATGGACTGGATGAGAGCCAACAAAGTGAAGCTCAATCCAGCCTGGCCCCCTCAAATATTTTCTTGGTGGCGCAAAGGGACCGTGGCCCCTAGGAGTTGGCTGCTGTGCAGGAGGCCGTGGTAGCCATAAAAGAGGATGAGAGACATTCATGGAGGAGGGGAGAGTTATGGGTGACCCCTGTGGGGCCCGATCCAGCGGCTGCAGGACTCTTCCGATGTTCCCATCGGATGTCAGCCAGCCGATGGCAGCACTGAAGCATCTTCCGAGAGGCGAGAGGACTGGATTTGAAGCTCCTCGAGTCTCTCGCTTCAAGTTGAATAGAAAGGAAGGAGGGGCGGGGGGGGGGGCACATGACAGAGACGGACTTTCCATCAGATGGACGTTTATCCATGTTCGCCCGGTGTGGATGGAGAGAACCTCTCCCCGCTTCTCTCCTCATCCTAGACGGGGGGCGGGGTAATAAATCGAGGGGCACTCAAAGGGATCCCAAATGTGGGAGATGAACCCCCCAGCCCGGGAAATAGCGAGGCTAGTGAAGCTGGGCCAACGGGCTCCCTCTTCCTGGGGAGTTTCCCGCTGCCCCCGGCGGGCTCGAGGGAGAGGCTTCCGGGCTGGGCTGCGCTCGGCCTCCGCCTCCGGGCACCGGAAAGTCCCAGTGCGCCGCCCCACCGCCGGGTGCCTTTCGTTTTCGAGGCAGAAGCAGAAGCATGGGGTGGCGGCTGCCCGTCTTGCTGGCGTTCCTCCTGGCGGGGCCAGGTAAGGCGGCCGCGGGCCGGGTGGGACGGGCCGGGGGCCGCCTCTGGGACGCCCGAGGGCTGCGCGGGACTCCGGGGACGGGCGAGAGAAAAGCCGGATTCAGGCAGCGCAGAGTTCCCCTGCGGGATGGCTCTCCAGAAGGGTGGGCAAATTCAGGGAGGAGGAGGAGGGGGCGACTGAGGGCTGCTCTGCCTCCTGCTTCTGAATGCCAGTCTCTGGAAACCGGAGCTGGGGGGGGGGGAGAAGTGGCCCCTGTGAGGACCGGGGCTGGACCAGAAGGGACACGGGACTGAGCCAACAAGGCTTTTCCGATGTTCTTAACGGAGGCGTTCGGAGCAGCTATTGCAAAAGCCCCCCCCCCTCTGCGCTGGAGGAGCCACTCCCCCTCTTGGACCCCTTCCTGGAGCTCCCTTGGGTGGCACCTAGAAGGCTGAACAGGGTCCTTGGGGCAAGACACCCCCCCCCCACTTTGCCAGGCTCTCAGCCCTATGGGGGTTTCGGCTACAACAAATCTGTGGTTAGTTTAGGGCAGCCTCCTGCCCCCCCCCCCCCCCAAAAAAAAAGGAAAACACAACCCGCCAGATGTTTTGGATCACAACTTCCCAGCAGGAAAGGCTGTGATGTGTTTAGTTAGCTACCAGGTTTCTATCTTGCTTCCCTCCCTCTGCACGGCGGCTGGACCCGCGTGGTCAGTGGTGGCCCTGCTCTGCCCCCACGGACAGAGGCTTCCTCAGACCGGTTTCTGGGGCCCACTAGTGGGGAGAGTGATCCTTTTTGGTTAGTGTCTGGTGCAATTGTAAAATACAAAGCAGTGCCACTACAAATGCAAAATACGCAAAGTGTTACTAACGAAAAGCAAATTCAAAATTGACCAAGTCCTGTATAATGTTCCTGTCATGCTTGGAGCCTTCCTGTGGGCTCCGCTTTGGGGTGTCTGGTCAGTCCAGGATGATGTTGGGCTGAGTGGACCTTTGGCCTGATCCAGCAGCCAGACTCTTCTCACCTGTGTTAGGAATCAGCCAGGCGCCAGGCACATCTTGCGACTGTTGTGGGTTCATCTGTGACCACATGGAGACAGATCTCTGGACGCCAGGTTGGCAGTGGACATCTCCGTCCGGCTGGCCCCTCCAGCTGTCTTAAGCAGGTCAGCAGAAGAGCTGATCCATTGCATTTATACCCCTCCTTTTCCTCCAAGGAAGACACAGTTCACCCCCCCCCCAGTTAATCTCTACAACGACCCTGCCAGGGAGGTGAAGAGGCTGTGTTTGACTCCACCCAGGGCTGAGTGCGGGTTTGAACCTTGATCTCCCAGGTCCTCATCTGCCACTCTCACCGCCGCCCCACACTGGCTTCCTAGAGTCCTTTGGCTAGGAGGCAGCTCTAAAAACTGAATAGGTAAATAAATATGGGGAAAGTAAAATGCCCTTTAGAGAAGGATCTGAAATATTTTCCTGGAAGCTTGAATTTCTTTTAATAATAATAATAATAAAATAATTTTATTTATATTCCACCCTCCCCAGCTGAAGTCTGGCTCAGAGTGGCTAACAACAATAAAAGTAAAATAGCATTCTAAAATCAATTCATTTTAAAATCAATTCAAAATCAAATTAATGGCAACCATTGGGCTAGAGTTCTGTGAGGATTACCAAAGGAGGGGGTCAGACTGTGCCTTGGCCAAATTTTATTCTAATTTGTTTAATTTAATGTTTTGATGTGCTGGAAATCACTGTTTATTTTTGCTTCATAAAATGCGTGCACAGCTTGATTGTTGAAAAAAGGAGGGGAAATGAAACAACAAAATCAAGAGAGAGAAATACAGTGCCTTAAGGCCCACAGAAAGTTAACAAATTAAAACCTATGCCAGCGTTTCTGCTTTATTTTTCTGCCTCTGGGGAAACAGCAACACTTCCACATTCCTCAAGCCTTTGCTACTTTTGCTGCAACAGAAGGAGAGCGAAAGAGGAGCCCTGCCAGTTTCTGGGCGTTCGCTTCCTTAATGGACTGACTCCAGCTACAAAAGCTGAGGCTGGGGTCTTGCTTTGGAGGTTTCTGTGGGGGCCAGCGATCGTTGCTGTTACTGATAGTCAAAAGGACTCTCTTTGTGTTGTATCTTTGGGTTAGACTTTGCTGTGATTTATGTGGAAGTTGCTCAGTTTGGCTTTGCATTTTTTTAACTTTTGATTTCTCATTCATGGCTACATTTGTGACGGTTTCTTTCATGTTGGAAGCCGCCTTGAGCATGGATTTAACTGTGGAAAGGAGACATAGAACTAAAATTATTTATGTATGGTTGGTTGGTTGGCCACTGGAGGAAGAGGAGGCTGAGCTGGATCCAGCGGTCAGGCTCTTCTCCTAGACTTAAGGAACCTCCAGGCCCAGAAGCAGTCTATCTAGATTCCTAAGTTTTTTTTTGGGGGGGGGGGGCATTTGGATACTCAGGGGACAGGATGCTAGGTGAGATGGGTCCCCTTTGGGGCCATGAATTTGTCTAATCCTCTTTCAAAGTCATCTGGGTTGGCGGTCGTTGCTGCCTCTTGTGGAAGGGAGTTCCACCGGTTAACTAGGCAACACACCGTCAATGCCATCTCAGTGTATTGGTGGTGGGTTCACACGTGTCATTTCACTTTGTGGGCCATTGTGTACCGCTCCCTCCATGTTCCTGCTTTAGTGCCATCTTGGGGTGGGGAGGCTCCCTTGTGCTCCTGCGCAAAAACAGGGAGGAAAGTTCTCCCCAGTTTTGGAATGACAAATTACAGTCTTTCGAAAGTGGAAATGGAGCAATCTATCCAGTGCTGTTTTTGTAGGAAAAGAGGTGCCAGAACTCACCATTAACACCTCCCTTGTTCTCTTATAATGGATAATGGCGCCCATCCGAGAGGCCCTGAAACTGAGTTCCAGAGAGTTCTGGGTGGAGAAAAGCCCTGCATCCATTTGCCCTGAAGCTTTTGCAGGGACAACTGATACTGAACACAGGATTGGGCAGCATTGCTATTCTTATTATTTCATACAATGTATGAAATGATTATGGAAAACCTCAAAGTGGTTAACAAAAAAAGATCACAACCCTCCTTTAAAACATGTTGTTGTTTAGTCGTTTAGTCGTGTCCGCCTCTTCGTGACCCCCTGGACCAGAGCACACCAGGCGCTCCTGTCTTCCACTGCCTCCCTTATGCTGGGAGCTTGGAGAACACTGTCCCACCATCTCGTCCTCTGCCGTCCCCTTCTCCTTGCGCCCTCCATCTTTCCCAACATCAGGGTCTTTTCCAGGGAGTCTTCTCTTCTCATGAGGTGGCCAAAGTCTTGGAGCCTCAGCTTCAGGATCTGTCCTTCCAGTGAGCACTCAGGGCTGATTTCCTTCAGAATGGAGAGGTTTGATCTTCTTGCAGTCCATGGGACTCTCAAGAGTCTCCTCCAGCACCAGAATTCAAAGGCATCAATTCTTCGGCGATCAGCCTTCTTTATGGTCCAGCTCTCACTTCCATACATCACTACTGGGAAAACCATAGCTTTAACTATACGGACCTTTGTCGGCAAGGTGATGTCTCTGCTTGTCTAGATTTGTCATCACCTTTAAAGCATACAAAAGTTAAAATACTAAAACAAATCAGAATTACCTCGACTTTCTTCTTTTAATAATATTTATTATTATTATTATTTCAAATTTTACCAATTCCTTTACAGTACAATCCGAACAAATCTCTCATATCCTTTGACTGGGCACCCGTGGGATCCTTTTGTTAACTTATAAAGCTGCTATATTACTTATATTTTATCCATTATATGCATTAATTCTAAATTATTAAACTACAATTTCTCCTCTGTTGCTGCACTTCAAATCCTGCATACGTTTTAACATAACCATCGTCAAAATTACATCAGCTTTCTGAGCATCTGGGTTAGGCTTGCATAAACAAGAATACTTTCAGCAGGTGCCAAAAAGAACACAGGGAAGGCGCCTGTTTCATATCAAGTGGCAGGGAGTTCCAAAGGGCAGGCCGTACTAAAAGATCAGGTTCTTGTAAATGTGGAACAGGCCTTGTGTGGCATCTGCAGCAGTGCCAGTTCCACCAATTGAAGGGGCAAAGTGTTCTCATGGGTAAACTGGTCCCAAACTTTTAAGGGTGTTTCCGTGCGCTGCTCTGGTTCGCCAGAAGCGGCTTAGTCCTGCTGGCCACATGACCCGGAAGCTGTACGCTGGCTCCCTCGGCCAATAAAGCGAGATGAGCGCTGCAACCCCAGAGTCATCCGCGACTGGACCTAACGGTCAGGGGTCCCTTTACCTTTATGCTAACAGCAGCACCTTGAACGGCCCGGTTGCAAATGGGCAGCCACTGCAAAGGTGTTCTACGCTGACCAAACCTTGTTCCCTTTAGGAATTAAGCATAACCCCACCCCAAAATCAAGCCCCCTTTGCTGGGCCCAGGGCAAAGAGAACTCGGCCCTTGCCTGCTTCTCCTCCTTCTCTTCCTCATTCATTGTGGGCCAAAACGGCCCTCTCCGCTCTCCACTCTTTCCTGAAGCTCTGCTCTTCTCTTTCCACAGCTCTAGGGAATGAGGGAGCAGCTGCTGGGACTTGTGGCTCCTGCCAGAAACACTCCAAAAAGCAGGGAAAATTAAGCAAATACCCTGGGCGGATGAAAAACTGGGAAACCTGCATGGACTTAGTCAAGTAAGTAGGCCACCCTCCCAACACCCTCGCCAGCCTGGAACAAGGGACTTTTCCCTGCCTGCCATCCTTTGGCGGCTCCGTTACGTCTCTGCCAGCCACCTGGCTCTCCACCTCCATCCCTCCGCTCCATTCCGTCCTTTTCCTCGACAGGTTCACGTTCCCCCAAGGAGACTGTTACCTCGGCTTAAAGAGCAGCGACTGGGTCCAAGCACTGATGAAAGAATTCCCTGAAAAAGGTGAGTGAAAAAGAGCAAAAAAAAAGGTTTGGGGGTGCTCTGGCTGGCGAGAAGTGAAGGGGCCTAGTGGTCAGGCAGGGACCTGGGAGAGACCCGAGTTCGAATCCCCACTTGGCAGCCACGAAGCTCGCAAGGTGGTGCCCAGTCCCTGCTTCTCTCAGCCCAGCCTCCCTCACAGAGATTCTGGCTGAACTTTCTGAGGGCATCAGCCAACTGGACTCTGGAAAGGGCTTATTGGGAAGGTGGAGGCTTTCAGACAGAATTTGCGCAGCCCCCCATCAGGGAACCTTCAGCCACGATCCCTCCACGAGAAGACACCTGGAAGCATTAAAAACCTCTTCTTCTAATGGGAGGTTTTTAATGTTTCAAGGCTTTCGTGCTTTAAAGCCCTATGTGGCCTAGGACCCTCGTACCTACGGGACCGCCTCTCCTGGTCTGCCCCACGGAGGACCTTACGGTCTTCAAACAAAAACATCTTGGAGATCCTGGGCCACAGGGAGGTCAGGCTGGCCTCAACCAGAGCCAGGGCTTTCTCGGCCGTGGCCCCGATCTGGTGGAACGCTCTGTCCCAAGATACTAGGGCCCTGTGGGACTTGACATCTTTCTGCAGGGCCTGCAAGACGGAGCTGTTCCACCAGGCCTTTGGTCAGGGCACAGACTGACCCCCTCCTTTGGTAAGCCTCACAGAACTTTAGCCTAATGGTTGCCATCATTTTGAGTTTAATTAATTTTATAATGAAATGTTTTTAGAATGTTGTACTATTTTATTGTTGTTAGCCGCCCTGAGCCCGGCTTTGGCTGGGGAGGGCGGGATATAAATAAAATTTTATTATTATTATTATTATTATTATTACTACTACTACTACTACTAATAATAATAATATTTTGTTGGGAGCCGCCGAGTGGCTGGGGCAACCCGCTCAGATGAGCGACATATAAATAATAAAATAACCATTACAGTCGTACCTTGGTTTTGGAACAGCTTAGTTCCCGAACGTTTTGGGTCCCGGATGCCGCACACCCGGAAGTGACTGTTCCGGTTTTTGAACATTCTTTTGGAAGCCAAATGTCTGGCGGGACTTCTGATTGGCTGCGGGAGCTTCCTGCAGCCAATCAGAAGCCGTGCTTTGGTTTTGGAATGCTTTGGGAGTCAAATGGACTTCCGGAACGGATTCCGTTCAAATTCCAGGGTTCAACTGTATTATTATTGCAGGAGGCTGGGCTAGAGGACCCTCAATCCTATGAGCCTGTGAATGGCCTGTCTTCCTGCCCCCCAGCAGTCTCAGTGTGCATTTCTCTCTCCCGCAGAAAAGGGTCTTGTGATGCTGAGTCCAAGTCCTGCGCCTCCCAAGCCGGCCCCCACCTCTGCACCCAAGCCCTCCACCTCCCAAGCCCCCCTCTCATCTCAGTCCCCCACGGTCTCGCTGAGGGTCCTTGATGAGACCTCAATGGGGGTCCTCGACGAGACCCCTGCCACGCATCCAGCTCCAGAGGTCCCCAAGGATGCCACACAGCCCCCCATGTCAACCAGAAGTGCTGCGCCACTCGGCCACGGTGAGTGTGTGGTGCTGGGAGGACTGGGGCACCTGGAAAGGGACTTCCCACCCTCTTTAAAGTCCCTCGACTGTGCTTCAAAATTATTTGTTTGCCTTGCAGATCCCTGGGCAGCCGGGCCCGCTAGCCAGGCCCCCCAGACGACAGAAAGGGGGGTCTCACCAACAGTCGTGCTTTCTTTGCTGGCTGTCACCCTGGTTGCCGTGGCCATTGCCACCATCGTGGTGTGCCGCAGGAGACACCGGCAGCGGCAGGCGACCCTCATTCCTCTCGGCGACCCAGGTGGGCAAGGAGGGGGGCGGTGGGAAGTCTCCTCTGCTCCCCCCCCCCACAGAACAGCCTTTGGCAACCTGGCGCTCTCCAGAGGTTGTGGACTGCAACTCGAATTGTCCTAACGAATCCCTCTTTCCCCTTTCAACAGAGGAGCAAATACACCTGCCACATCATCGCGAGAAGACCTGAAGCCAGCCTGGTGGCCGCTGGAGTAAACAGGGGGCAGATTTTGCCAGAATTTCCAGCAAGTCTGCTGCATCACTTTGTTCCAAGGGTTGGGGGGGGGGGGCATGAAAGGACTTTGAGCCAAGGGGGGAGAGTGGGAAATGTAGATACTGGAATCCCGTTGTGTGCAAAAGGTGTCCCTTGAAAATCTACGTCCTGTTCTCAAAAGGCTTTTTAGGGGTGTGTGTCTGGCAGCCAAACCCCCAAAGTCCCCCCCCTCGTTGCACTTTACCCATGTGCCTTTCCCTCTGCCCCCTTATTTTTGTACAGAAGCACAGAAACTGTAGAGTTGGGAGGGACCCTGGGGGTCATCTAGTCCAACCCCCTGCAATTCAAGAATCTTCGCTACAGTATCCATGACAGATGTCCACCCGACCTCTGGCTAAAAGAAGGGAGTGTCCACCATCTCCTGAGGGAGACCATTTCTCTGTTGAACAGCTCTTGCTGTCGGAAAGTTCTTAGTGGGAAAGGTTTAGTGGGACTCTCCTTTCTTGCAACTTGAAGCCATGAGTTCGAGTCCTACCCTCCAGAGCAGGAGAAAACCAGCTTGCTCCACCTTCCATGTCTCCTCTCAGCCTCGACCTTCCGAGGGCCAGAAGACCAAATGATATGTCATAAGAATATGTAAATAGAAATGGTTAAAAAATTAAATAATTTTGCACAAAGGAGGATTCTGCCCTCATGATCTTCGCTTGCTCTCTGCGTGCTCACTTTGAAGTCGAAAGCAGAACCCGGAAGGCCACAGTCTGCTTTCACTTCTCGGTTTGCAAAGCTTCCTCGTGAGTCAGGTCTGGGGAATCCAGCATGCCCCCCCCCACTCCTCCTCCTCCTCTCGCTTCCTCCTCCATGACCTCATGGGGTTTTCCGCCCACTGTTTTCTCAAGAAGGAAATTTTCAAGGATGGGTCATGTCGCCCGCAGGTGCTGCACTGCCTTGCCCGGGGGGGGGGCAGGATGGCGCCCCCCAGGCCACCCCCACATTTCCCAGCAGCTATATCTGTCCCCAAACACACCACAATGCCTTTTGAAGGGGCCGCACCAATGAAATTTCTGCCCAGCGAAAGAAAGGGCTGCTGGGCGGAAGACAAACTGTGCAGAGATAAGGGGAAAGTAAATAGGAACCGGGTTTGGCATTTCAGGCGACTGGCCTGCGCAATCTGGGCTGGGACTGCGGTTCTGTGGGGGCTGTGCAGGTTGTGACATGACTCAGAACCTGCCACAGGCGGACCTTGAGGAAATTTAGGACCTTTAGACTTGTAGAGGTGGGGAAAGGACCCCGCGGGGTGTCTACCCCCCCCCGCGCAGTGCAGCAATCTCCACTCAGTTTGACAGATAGCCACCTGGGCACTGCTTTAAAATCCCCAATGCATCACAGAACAGTAAAGTTAGGAGGGACCCTGAGGGTCATCTAGTCCAACCCCTGCAATGTAGAAATCACAGCTGAAGAATCTATGACAAACCTATTTAAAAACCTCCAGCGAAGGTGAGGCCACAGAATCCAAGATATGTAGAGATATGGAAAGGGCACTCCAGGGGTCATCCAGTCCAGCTCCCAGCAAGGAAGGAATCACCCCCCCCGAGACCTTTCAATAAACTCTGTGAGATGAAACAGAGAAGCAACTTTTTACCGCAAGAGTTGCAGTCCCATTTCCACCTCCCCGCGTGCCCCCCACCCCCGCAGGCCCCTAAGCAGCAGCAGCAGCTGCAGAAGTGGACGTCGTTGAGGGCCGGCCGGGGGCTGCTCCACGAGCCCCTCCCCGGGCACCTGCAGCCCCGCGCCAGACTCCCTCTCCACCCGGAGGTTGGCGGCCGTGGCGTCCAGCCTCATTCGCGGTGGCGCCGCCTGCAGCTGAAGGAGACCCGCCAGCGCCACCGGGTTTTGCTCCAGCTGCCCAAACTGAGAGGGCGAAGCAGAAAGCGCAGGGTTAAACTGCGGAACTCCCTCCCAGGAGAGGCAGCCGGGGCCACTAGCCTAGGGGGCTTTAAAAGAGGGTTGGGCATATTCGGGGGGGGGCTATGGGGGGCTCAGCTCTGTCCTCCGCAGTCTGAGGCAGGAAACGTTTCCGAATGCCGGTTTCTGGAAGCCTCGAGAGGGGAGAGACCCCGTCAAATTTATGCCACCGGCCAACTCTGAAAAAGCAAAACAAAACAATCCCCAAACGAGGATGAAAAAAGTATAAGGCGGATTTTAGACTGTGCAAAAGTTTAAGCAAGCAAGAGGCTAAAAATGGATTACACCTTGTGTCAGCTTTGGACAGGCTTTGCCTAAACGGAAACGGTTTTAGCAGGCGCCGGGAAGCAAGCGGCGAGGGAGGCTGCAGTCGGTCAATGCGCAGGCAGTTCCAAAGATCGCCTGTCCAGCCAGCCAGCCAGTCCCACATCCCGCAGCCCCTGGGGGCGGGGCTAGCTGCCCGCGGCGATGTCAGCCCCCGTCAGGATGCCACCCGGAGCGTGCCGTCCCCGCCTCCGTACGCCACTGATGGGCCGGATCCAGCTGCCTTTGTCACTTCTCACCTGATGCCCACCTAACTGGGGCTGGGCTCTCTTTCCCCTTTTTCTTGCTTTGCACTCCTTTATAAGGCAGGTGGAGTTCATCCGCCTTTTCCCTTCGGGACTTTGACTGCGATCCTGTGCCCAGATACGAGGGAGGAAGGGCTGCGACCGAGTCGAGTTTGGGGCTGGGCCTGGAAGCCCACGGATTTCCCCTTGGCATAGTAATTGCGTAAAGTCGAAGCACCGTACCTCCCCGGGGGGTGCCCTCGCATAATGGACGACGGAAGATTTTGGTTCACAGTTGGCCCCAGCAGCTCAGGAGGCCTCCTCACTCCCCGGAACCGCTCCTATGGCCTTGACCACCCTCTGCTTTGCAAACCTAGCAGGGTTGTGGCAGTAACAAAAGGGAGGGAGGAATGCAAGGGAAGCCACCTTGAGATGGGTCAGGGGATGAGGGTGATGAGGGTGATGGTTGCCAGAGGGGAGACTTCTTTACTATAGAGCAGGTAAGGTAAAGGGACCCCTGACCATTAGGTCCAGCCGTGGCCGACTCTGGGGTTGCGGCGCTCATCTTGCTTTATTGGCCGAGGGAGCCGGCGTAAGGTTCCGGGTCATGTGGCCAGCATGACTAAGCCGCTTCTGGCAAACCAGAGCAGCGCACAGAAACGCCGTTTACCTTCCCGCCAGTAAAGGTAAAGGTACCCCTGCCTGTATGGGCCAGTCGTGTCTGACTCTAGGGTTGTGTGCCCATCTCACTTAAGAGGCCGGGAGCCAGCGCTGTCCACAGACACTTCCGGGTCATGTGGCCAGCGTGATGAAGCTGCTCTGGCGAACCGGCACCAGAGCAGCTCACGGAAATGCCGTTTACCTTCCCACTATAAAGCGGTACCTATTTATCTACTTGCACTTAGGGGTGCTTTCGAACTGCTAGGTGGGCAGGAGCTGGGACCGAACGACGGGAGCTCACCCCGCCGCAGGGATTCGAACCACCGACCATGCGATCGGCAAGTCCTAGGCGCTGAGGTTTTACCCACAGCGCCACCCGCGTCCCCCTCCTTCCCGCCAGAGCGGTACCTATTTATCTACTTGCACTTTGACGTGCTTTCAGACTGCTAGGTGGGCAGGAGCAGGGACCGAGCAATGGGAGCTCACCCCGTCACGGGGATTCGAACCGCCGACCTTCTGATAGGCAAGTCCTAGGCTCCGTGGTTTAACCCACAGCACCATCCGCATCCCACTATAGAGCAGACTCTCCCAAAAGAGATTAATCTCTCCCCTTCTTTCCCAGCACCCAAAACTCCTTCCAATAATAACGCAGGACTCCTTTTTTCCATTAGTCTTCAGGTGACAGGATGCTCAAGCATAATCTTCACCACTTTTTTCTATCTCTGCTGTTTTCTTCTTCCTGTGTTCTATATCATTTGTGTATGTCTTGTACTCTGCCATGAGCACATCTTTATAAGGAAAGATGAAAGAATGAAGGGGAGACTAGCTAATAGACCCACAAAGGAGGTTTCTCTGCCAAAGCAGACAGGGTCAGTGGGACGAGAGACTCCCCTGTTGGGTCATTTCCAAACTCTATGAGTGAAGTCCATAGTCAACAATACTCCTAACATTTCCCCCTGTATGCTTAGGCCGTCCCTCGTTCCAGGTGTAATGAAAGATGTCGACCTGGATATGTCCAGAAGGTGATACCAGGAAAACCTGCTTGCTGCTATGCTTGTGTTCCATGTGTGGAAGGGACTATCTTCACCCAGAAAGGCGGGTGACTCCAAGGAAGAGGGCATTTCGGGGGGGGGAATAGAAATAAGGTATAGACTCCCCCAGATACACTCTTTGAGAAGGGTATAAAGACATTTTTAACGTGGGTCCTTTATTTGCTTCTCTGTTTTTCATCACATTGTTACCTGCAGGAAGCCAGGAGACCTCGCAAGGTTGGTGTGGGAACAAATGGGGAAACCACACACACACAAGCCTCAGCCTCCCTGGTGACGAGGGCTATGCAAATGCAGCCAATAAATAATAACAGAAGAATAAAGGAATTGGCACAGGTCAAAGAAAATATTAATTAGGCAAAAAGGTTACAATGCAGTTTACAAATGTGGAGCTTTCATTTCCTCTGACCGAATCCTAGATCACAAGGCTGCTTGGATGATTAAACTTTTGGGGGGGGGCGGGGACTCCTCTAACTCCACAATGGAAAGGCAGGCTACAAGTGTGAACATTAAAAAAAAACCAAATACACTCTTTTTTGCCTCTCGTGACCTATTTACACATTCCTCTTTCGTAACCTCCCCCACAACAGCTGAGATTTTCAAAATGGCGCAGAGCACAGAAGGTCATGTAGGTGATGCTGAAGCCACACTTTTCTCTTCCTCAGATGCCAAGAATTTCACCAAATACCCGGACGATGAGCATGCAAATGAGGACAGAGATCAGTGTGTCCCCACGATGACCACCTTTCTGTCTTATGAAGAACTTTGGGGGTTCCTATTAGCTTCCATTGCTCTGCTCTTGTTCATAACAGCAGGAGTTGTGTTGGGAATCTTCATTAAA